ATAATTATTTATTTTTAATAGAAATATATAAATTTTTGGTTTATCTATTAAAATAAATAAGGCAAATCTTAATATTATGAATCAAGATTAAAGTTTAGCCTAAGAAAATGAAGATAAAGTTTAAAATTAAAAAAGAGTAAATGTGAAATTACAACTAAAATTTAGTTCTCTATATGGAGATGAATAGATTGATAATAAAATTTAATATGATGCATATGTCTATTATAATAATTGGAAAGAAAATAGTATAAAATATGATCGTTGCAAAATGGAATTAGATTAAAATAATATATGGATAGCTTAAATTGATTTAGATCCTAATGCTACTTATAAATATTATTATTATGTTTAATAAAAAAATAAAATAAAAAAAGAATCAGATGTGAGATATTTTAAATATGATTAAAAAGAAAAAATAGGAATAGATGAATGGAATAAGGTTTGGTGTTTGTATAGATATTACATAAAAGATAGATAAATTTTAGATTTTTATCAAATTAAAATTAAAGACTATAGTAAATAGTCATTTTAAAGTATTGATAATTTAAATGAAGATTAAACAGGAGATTCTTATTTAGAATGTTAAGAAATTCTTAAAATTTAAGATTAATAAAAAAAAAGATAATTTGCTTTTATAAATAAATTTAATCAAGAACTTATTGAATACTCTAATTAATTTGATCCCAGAAAAGGAGATACTTATATCAATAATTTTGTTATACATTAATTTTCACAGAATATATTCTTGTCCAAAGAATAAGAAGGAAGAATTGAAAAATTTATTTCGTAATAAGGGAATAATTTAAGTCAAAATAATGAAAAATAATTAAAAAGTAAAATATAAGAACTTGAAAATTAATTTAATAAGAAACTTGAAGATTTAAATTCTTATAAACAATAATTATATAAGGAAACAGCAAAAAATAAAGAATCTTAAGCTAAAATTTAGAATCTGGAAACAAGGATAAAAGATATTTAAGCTGAAAATACAAATATTAAAAATACATTATTAGAAAATTAAAGAATGTATATGCTTGCTTTATAAGAAAGTGAATATTATCAATAGGAAAAATCTATGAAATAATTGGAATAAATAAACAATGAATTTCAATAAAAAATTGAATATATTTCAAAAATAAATAATGAGTAATTAAAAAATTAAAAAGAAAAAATGGAAGAAGAGTCGAGGATTTTTTAAAAGAAATCTTAAGAAGTAATAAATAAATATATTGAAATGCTTGAAGATTCAAATAAAAAACTTAGAAATTATGAATTGAAAAATATTCATTATGAGGGCGATGATATTAAAATTTCTATAACTTAAGAAGAAGTTCCTGATGAATTTAAATAAGAAATTTATGATTTAGAAACAAAAATTTAAGATTTTCAAACTACAGAAACTCAATTAAAAAATTAAATTCATAATGCTTAAGAAGATTCATAAAAGTTAGAAAAAGAGAAAAATTCTTATAAATAAAGAGCAAAAAAAATTCAGATTTTGAGTAACGAAAGTAAAGAGAAATTGGATAAATGTGAAATCGAATTAAAATAAGCAATATAGAAATTAGAAATAAAAAAATAAGAATCTTTGTAATAGGATTAATTTTATAATTTAAAAATATCAAAGTATCAAAAAGGTTTAAAAGATTTATTATAAAAACTTAATGAAAAGTAAGATGAATTAGAAAATTTTAAAAAGGCTTATGAAGAAATTCAAAAAAAATTAGAATTAGAGGAAGAAAAAAATATTAAATTACAGGTAGAACTTGAATCAACAATCAAATCTTCAGAAGAAAGAAGAATATATGAATATAAAATTTTGATGGAAACTCATAATTAAGAAATTAAGTAAATTTAATAAGAAAAATAATAATAATTATTATAAGAAAAGCAAAAATTTGAAGAAAATTAAAAAAAAAATTTAACAAATTTAACACACTCAGTGATTTAAAATGTTTATGAAAAACTCGAAATTGAAATCCTATAACCATATTTTGATTTATAAAAGAATTTCCATTATAATCTAATGAATAACTTTGGAAGTGAAATCGAAAGAATAATAAATGAAAATATAGATAATTTTGAAACTCCAGTTAATTAATTATAATACAGATTGTGCCATATTGAGGAAGAATAATTATAGGAATTCTTAATACTAGCTCAATAGGAACATGATAAATTAGTGGAGGCAATATAAAATTTCAAAAAAAAAACAACAATTAAAAATGCCATATACTTAAAAGAATGCTTCAGATAATATACTATCTAATGTAATAAAATAGATAAAATCTCCAAAACAATTAACTTTGATAATGATTAAGAAGGGGAATAAATTTATTAATTAAATAGATGGTAAGTTATTTTAGAATAAAAATTGGATTCTGTTTTTAGATTGCTTAATTTCTAGCAAGATTTATAAGGATATAATTTGGAGTTTTAAGAAAGTAGAGATACTTATACCAAAGCATTGAAGTATTTTTAAAGTTAACAAGAATAATTGTATGAATGATTCTTAGTTTTAATAATTGATTTATAACATATAATTATTTAGATATATTTTTCAATAATTAGTAAACCCTATGATATTGATAATTTTTTTGAAAAGTTATAGTTAAATTGAATACTCTCTTTTACTTGAACTCATTAAAATTAAGATTATTATTACATGACTATTACAGAAACCTACTATCATTGGAGAATATGTCATTTTTATTAATTTCTATTTCATACTTAATCGTAAAAATTAATAATTTTTGTTACAACCAAAATTATTTATGTAACTTATGCAAATCCCAAAATTTTTTAAACTTTTTAATTTATTGTGAGTTTTGTATTAATATTAATATTTATATTTTATTTTTCGCTTATTATTAATATGATTAAATTAATTTATCGTAAGTAGAAATAGATTTAGAAAAAAGAATGTAGTTTTTAATTAACTTCTTTAGTTTCCATTTTGAATTAAAACCATTAGGAAAATAAATTTTAATTTTTTAAAAAATATTATTTTTATTTCATACTGCTATTGCCATTCCCCCTTGACACAACTAGGCTTACGAATCAACACCATTAATTTATTATAATAAGGTTTCTAATTATTTAAATATAAATTACATTTCAAAGAAAAACTTGTTGTTATTGATTCTTAATAATTTTTTAAAGCATCCTTGATTCTTTCTATTCTTAGCTAAAGATCATCTATAATTTAAACTTAATATGTATACTTGAAGGATTTTATATTTTCTCCATCTCTTTTTAGGCCATGTTTTTTGTACTTTCATTTATTTTTGATTGAATTTATGATTCTAATCTATTAATATTAATAATGATTATAATACATTTCAATTTCCCTATTTTTTTCCTCTAATTGCCTCTTACTTTTCTCAATTTCATCGTTTCTTTTCTTTTTCTCATTTTGGATTTCTTCTTATAATTTTTAGCTCTTTTCTTATTCTTATTAATATTTTTATGTTAAATCTTCAAATTTACATTTTTGTAATTCTAATTCTTTAGATTAATTATCAAAGTTCTCTTTCAATTTTTATAATTATTGTTTATACTTTGAGAGTACTTGTTAAGTTTTATTCTCTTACTAAGCTTTTAAATCAATCTCATTTATTTTATTTTAAATTTATGATTAACATTTTTTTAATTCTTATTAGCATTCTTCATATTTCTACTTGCATTTCAAAATACCTTATTATTATTTCTTCAAATCATTTTCATATTTTTTAGATTATTCTTAGCTTAAGTCAACTGCTTATTTTTGAGATTAAGTTTATTTAACCAAATTCTCTTTTTCTTTTTCTAATTCTGAAACCTTTGCTTAATATGAATTAATTTATTATTCAATCTAATCCCAATTTTAATCTTTCATAAAAGTATTTTTTATCTCTTAGAAAGTTTGTAAAGATTCTTTCATAGCTGCCTATTATTTTTATTCGTTTTATTACATTTCTTTAATTGTGAAATCTGTTAATTAATTTGATAATTATTCTTTTTCACTCATAAGTCTTTTAATTATATTTTAATACGAAGCTTCTTAAGAAGCTAATTAAGAAGCTAATTATTCAGAATGTTCTTTAAATTATTAAATACTTTCATTGTTTTTTTATGACATTATTATATACTAATTATGTATTAAATTCTAACTTTTTTCAATTTTGTCATTTAATTCTAATAATTTTTTATTTTTTAATTCAAGTTAATTTTCATAATCTTTGTTTTTATTTTATAATTCTAATTTTACTCTATCAAATTCTATCTTTAATTATTCAATATTTGATTGTAATAGGGCTTTTTCTTTAATAAAATTTTAATTAGACTTTTCCTTGTTAAATGATTCGAATTTAGTTTTATTTAAATCATCTTGTAAAGCTTTTAATTTTTCTGTCAAATCGTAATATTATTTCTTTTACACCTCTAAATCTTAAATCAATTTTTTAGATTGTTCTTCTAATTTCTTAGTAATCTCTTTTTATTTTTCTTCTTCATTTTTTTTTATTTACTCCATTTCTTTCATCTTTTATTATTTTTCTAATTCTAAATCTTTTTCTAATCCTTTTACTTTTTTATCAATTTCTTGATTAAATTTTTTAAATTCTTCCAATGTTTAAATCATTTATTCTTTTATCATTTTGGATACCTTTCCTTTTTCTTGAATAACTTTATTCTTGGCATCTTTAATCTTTTATTCTAAATTATTCTTATTACTGGCAAGTAATTAATTATGTTCTTCTACTATCTTATGATGTTTAGTTTATATCTCATTTATCAATTTTTAACATTCCTTTTGATAATTTTCTAAATGAGTTTTAACTTCTTATTAAATTTGTTTTTCTCTCTCTTCACATTTTTATTTAATGATCTCATTAATCTTTGGAAGATTATTTTCAATATTCTCCTCCATTTTAGATAATATTTTTAGAAAATAAAAAAATAAATGATATTTTTTATGGTCTATTTGAAGCTATAAAGTTCATTTTCTATCAATTATGAATTTATATTAATTCTGTTTAAATTAATTAAATATACATATTTTTCAACTAATATAATTGTTTCATTCCTTTTAAATTTATATTCATAATAAATATCTTAAATAATGTGATTTGTTTTCATGTAGCAAACATTAATATACTATTAAATATTGTTCTTTAATATATATTTTAATTAATAAATTTTTTAAATCCAATCTGTTTATTATTACCTTAAAATCATTATAGTATGCTTCTAAAGTTATCAATTTCAAAATTTGATTATTTAAGACTTTTTTATATTATTTGATAGATGTGAAATATCATTAAAACAATAGAGAATATTTTTACAAGTATTTATAAATTCAAATTAATCTATTATTATAAATAAACATAAATACAATGGTATGGGATTATGAAATATCAAAAAACTATTTAAAAATTATTACATATATTTAACATTAAATAATTTTTAAATTTAATACATTTTATATTAAAAATTTTTATAAAAAAAATAGAAGTAGTGAAAGCTTTTTTGAAAATTGAAAATAAGATCATTGAATAAAAGCTAGGTTTAAAAAATTTCTCATTATTAATTTTTTTTAGTTTATATATATTTTATTTATTTTTGTAACAGTATCTTTTCATAATTTAGAGATTGAAAATGGTTAAAATTAGTTTAATACTCATGAGTAATTTGATTAAAATATATGATCATTTTTTTCTTTGTTTTAATGAGAACACTCTTTTATGCATATTTTGACTATTTTAATAGATTATTTAAGAATCAATACTATCTTTAGTTGAATTAGGTTGTTAATTATTTGTAGGTAAAGTGTTCTAACGATCCATAAAGAAATTATTTTAGGAAATAATACGTTTAAGACTTTCCATTTTTGATTATTATGGGCTTATAATAGAATTAGGTTAAATAGGTTAAACATTGCCTAAAGATGATTATCTAAAATAAATGATATAGAATAATACTATGATTTAATTCTTTTTTATAATGATGTCATTTATTCAGACTGTATCTTTTATTTTTAGTTAATTTATCTAGAACCAGTATAAGGGGATTATGGTTTAGAATTACTAGAATCTTTCGGTTCTGTACTTTTTCTAGAGGTTTTAAATTTTTAAAGGAGTTGCATTTATAATGATGTGATCATAATGCAATGTTATTTTAAAACTTTAGCTTGTTCAATTTTCATTTATTTCTGTTCAGATTAATCAAAATAGAAATCTTTAAATATTTTGATTTCTTATTGTAGACCTGTTTTTCCTAATAATTTTTCTCTAGTTTCTAATTCACCATTCATTAAATCATTGGAATCATAATTAAATTATAATTGATTAGGTTTAAAAGGAGGTTGTACTTTTTTTAATAGAATTGACACAAGATCACAATCTTTAAACCAAGGATGAGTGAATAATTCAAGTAAACCTTTATTAGCACAAAGTCTTTATGATGGTTATTTACTTAATAATCCTTTTAATAAATCTTTAATTTCATTTGATAAACTTAATTTATCTGGGAATGTAAGTTCTTCATTAAGAATAGATTCATATATTTCTTCTGTATCTCTTGAATAATATGGAGGTAGACCAGTAACTAATTCATATAGTAATGCTCCTAAACAATAATGATCTACTTAAACATTATGACCAATTTTTAAAAGCATTTCTGGAGCCATATATTCTGGAGATCCACAAAAACTATAAGCATAATCTTCTTCTGTCATATTAGGTTTAGATAATCCAAAATCTGCTATTCTAATATGTCCATCAATATCTATAAGAATATTTTCAGGTTTAATATCTCTATAAACAATTTATAATGAGTGTAAATAAAACATTGCCAAACATATTTCACTAAAATAAAATCTAGCCTATATTTCAGTCATTCTTTTAACCTATCTTAATTACCAAAATAATTCACCACCACTACAAAATTCAAGCACAAAAATTATAAAATTTTTAGATTCAAAAGCATATTCTAATTTTATTATAAAAGGATGATCTAATACAGTCATTATATCCCTTTCATTTTGAACAATACCTAAATAATAATAATTTTACTTATTTACCTTATTTTTTATGTTATAAAATAAATTCTTTATCAATTAATTTCATTGCATAAAATCTACCATTTGATTTCTTTTTTACCATATAAACCCTTGAAAATCCTCCTACACCTATACATTTTACAAAAATAAAATCTTTCAAAGAAATCTTAGAAGTTTATGGAGTTCCAAAAAATGGTTATAAATTTAAGGTTTAACCACTAAAAATATCGAGAGATTTATTAGATTATTATAGATAATAATCTACAGGTAGATTCTTATCAAGAGTCTGAAATGAAACAATCTCAGAATCTGTCGATTCATTTCCTGTTCCACATGTTATTTTAATATGATCTGGTTAAGATCCTGTGGATGAAGATTGATGTATAGAATACTTCTTTATTTCTTATTTCAAATGTTCATCTAACCAACCTGTTGTTTTAGATGGATCTATAGGAAATTTTATTTATTAGTTTTCATAATGAACTATTACAATTATCTAATTAGCTAAATTGATAAATCCTTAATTTTTAGTTGTTTAAGCATTAGAGTTTTAATATTAATTTGAATTTGTTCTTCTAGTATCTGTTGTTAGATTACTTTTCAAATTATTTGATGTATCAGAAATGTTCACTTTCTAAACAGATTTCTGAATTGGTAGTTATTTATGACTTATCATCAACTTTAACAATTCTTGTTAATATTGTTTAGCTTATATTGGTACTCCTTATTTTTTCAATACTCTCATATCAATTCCTTATAAACCTGTACTCTAATTGCCTTTATGATTTGGACTTAAACTTTGAGCAATCAATCCTCCAGGGTTAAAAGATTAACTAAGTTTACTATTTTTATTAGTGCACCTAACTATTTATATCATTATACGATTTTAAATTATTCTATTGCACTATCTCTTGTAATTATAATTGGGGACGAGACAGGTGCGACATTTATTTGTTAGATGTATTATTCGAATTTTAAATAAACTATATATTAAAATATATATAAACACACTATCAATGAAAATTATTAACATTTTTCATCTATCCAATTACTTTTAATTTTAGATTAATAAAAGAGGATTCTCTATATATATTTAAGTTTCCTTATACTATCTCTACCCTTTCTAAAATTAGAGAATTTCTAGAAAAAGTAAAAGCTTCCAAAATTTTTGGTAATTATTTCAATTCAATAATCAATTAATCTGATAAAATTGAACTCGTTTGGTGAAATAAATTTATCAAAAAACCAAGAGAAATAGAAATTAATTCATCATAATTAGGGTCTAAGTTAATTTGAAGTTACTTTAACAATCTAAAAAAATGGATATAAAATTATCTATTAAAATTGTAATCCTTGAATTTCTTTCTAAATTGATCTTCAATTAATAAATTTGATAGTAAATTCAATAATTGAACATACATATCACAAGAGTATTATGAGAGTTCTACATTTTAATAAATTTGAGAAATCTAATCTATTATTTGATCAAAATGATTAAAAAAGATTTAACGAAGAAAACTAGTTTAATCATAGCATAAATTGGCACACAAACTTAAAAATGATGAAACTAAATCATATTCTGTTTCAGAAAGACTTAAAATTCTAATAAATATTTCAGGATAAAGAGTTGTGATTATATGAGGATTAGATTAAATAAGAATTCGAGTCTTTTCTTCATTCATAATATTTATTGCTTCAATATAATCTCGAATACAATCAAAGATAGCAGATTTTTTCTTTTAATTGGCTTTGTTGAGCAATTTTATGATCTTTTAAATTATAATATCAACACCATTATATTGCAATATAAATTATTCTTGATATAATTAATTTTATTCTTAATAACATTACAAAATCAAAGCAGGCAAACTTGCCATAAACTAATTTTTTAAGAAAATATACGTTGTATTGATCATGAAGAAATTCTTCATCTGTTTTTATAATTGTTATCAAAGTTTCAATTCCTTTATTATCATAAAAATAAGCAGCTGCTTTATCTGTGTATTATCTCATTACTTACAAAACCTAAAATAAATCATAATGTTAATTTTAGAGAAAAAATGCATCAAGTACATTCTTATAATTCAAATTATTTTGTTGAAATTTAAATTAAGAAGATGTTTTTATAGTATCAATACTCCATTTAGAATTGACAAATTAATTACTTTAAGTATCTTCGTTTGAATTTTATATTTATTACACAGGTTGTTTATCAAAATTTGTTTCACATTATTCCTCTATAACTTTACAGGAATCTGATTTATTTTATTAATCAATAGATTCAAGTAATAAATAATTCTTGACATCTATTTTTAATTGTTAAGNTTACTTTTAATTTTAGATTAATAAAAGAGGATTCTCTATATATATTTAAGTTTCCTTATACTATCTCTACCCTTTCTAAAATTAGAGAATTTCTAGAAAAAGTAAAAGCTTCCAAAATTTTTGGTAATTATTTCAATTCAATAATCAATTAATCTGATAAAATTGAACTCGTTTGGTGAAATAAATTTATCAAAAAACCAAGAGAAATAGAAATTAATTCATCATAATTAGGGTCTAAGTTAATTTGAAGTTACTTTAACAATCTAAAAAAATGGATATAAAATTATCTATTAAAATTGTAATCCTTGAATTTCTTTCTAAATTGATCTTCAATTAATAAATTTGATAGTAAATTCAATAATTGAACATACATATCACAAGAGTATTATGAGAGTTCTACATTTTAATAAATTTGAGAAATCTAATCTATTATTTGATCAAAATGATTAAAAAAGATTTAACGAAGAAAACTAGTTTAATCATAGCATAAATTGGCACACAAACTTAAAAATGATGAAACTAAATCATATTCTGTTTCAGAAAGACTTAAAATTCTAATAAATATTTCAGGATAAAGAGTTGTGATTATATGAGGATTAGATTAAATAAGAATTCGAGTCTTTTCTTCATTCATAATATTTATTGCTTCAATATAATCTCGAATACAATCAAAGATAGCAGATTTTTTCTTTTAATTGGCTTTGTTGAGCAATTTTATGATCTTTTAAATTATAATATCAACACCATTATATTGCAATATAAATTATTCTTGATATAATTAATTTTATTCTTAATAACATTACAAAATCAAAGCAGGCAAACTTGCCATAAACTAATTTTTTAAGAAAATATACGTTGTATTGATCATGAAGAAATTCTTCATCTGTTTTTATAATTGTTATCAAAGTTTCAATTCCTTTATTATCATAAAAATAAGCAGCTGCTTTATCTGTGTATTATCTCATTACTTACAAAACCTAAAATAAATCATAATGTTAATTTTAGAGAAAAAATGCATCAAGTACATTCTTATAATTCAAATTATTTTGTTGAAATTTAAATTAAGAAGATGTTTTTATAGTATCAATACTCCATTTAGAATTGACAAATTAATTACTTTAAGTATCTTCGTTTGAATTTTATATTTATTACACAGGTTGTTTATCAAAATTTGTTTCACATTATTCCTCTATAACTTTACAGGAATCTGATTTATTTTATTAATCAATAGATTCAAGTAATAAATAATTCTTGACATCTATTTTTAATTGTTAAGCATCTTTATCAGATGGATCAATCTAAATTGCTAATTTAACATCTTATAAAGCCTTTAATAATTATCCAGTTTTGTAATAAGCTAGAGCTCTTCTTAAATGTGCTTTGAAAAAACTATCAATTATTTATGCAGATCTTTCTTCTTTACTTTATACAATCTAGAGTACTAATGTACAATCTTAAATAGCTTAATCGAATTTCTAAACTTTTATATAAGCTATTGCTCTATTAAGCAATAATAAGACATTATCTTAAACGAAAAATAGTGCTTCAGTATATAATGATATAGCCTCTTCAAATTTTTTGTCAGAGTAATATAAATTACCCTTTTTTTTAAGTTCCTAAGCATATAAAATTCTCTATTAGATTTCTGCATTTCCATATTCATTGTTTGTTTTTGATAAACTTTTTTAAAAATAGAGAAGATCTTTATCATTAGAATAAATTTTCAATGAATGTTAACCTTTATTCTAATTAGGTGTTGGAGAATTTTCCATTTCAGAAAATAGATTTGATTTTGATTAATTATCTGGATCTTCAATTTATTTCGGTTTATTAATTTTATCAACTCTTTTTTCAGATTTAAGATTTGAATCATCGATTGCTTATAAATCAAAATGAAGTTGTAATTCTCTTGATTTCATAGTCTATAATAATATTTTATAATATATAATAATTTAATGTTACAATATAATTGAGGATTGGAAATAATGAAACATATAACTAATAAATAAAGTGAAAATATGGAAGTTGCTATAAAATCATTTCCAATTTAATAATTTAATAAATTCTTCAAGAGTAATTTAACCATCTCCATCACTATCAACTTCATGAATCATATCTTCAACATCTTGATCTGATAGCTTTTCACCCATATTAATCAATACATGTTTCAATTCCTAAGCAGATAATAATCCATCTCCATCTCTATCAAATATTTTAAAAGCTGTAATATATTCTTCTTCTAAATCTGTGTCTCTTAATTTATTAGCCATCAATGCTAAAAACTCATTAAAATCTATCATTCCGTTTCCATCGAAATCTACTTCTTTTATCATTTCCTTTAGATCTTACTAACTTGGATTTTATCCCAAAGATCTCATAACCATTCCTAATTCTTTTATAGTAATGGTTCCATCTCCATCTTTATCAAAAAGAGCAAAGGCTTCCTTAAATTCTTATAAATCATATAAATGAGTCATAATTTATAAATAATATTATTGCTTAAACAGACCGAGGAAATTCAAAGATTATATTATTATCTTATTATACTTATTGTATTATATTTCAAATGATTTCTACAAATGCTTTTGGATGTTAAAAGACTGTAGCTGTTGGTTTGACAATTTCTGCACCTCTTGGTAATACTGGTTGTCTTTTAGTTGAGATAAGTTATTTCTTTTTATTGGCTTCTGTCTTTTTCTTATCATTTTCTTAAACTCTTTTAACAAATTCTTCTCTGCATTTAGATGGTCTCAAATGATCAGCTCTCACATGAAATCTTTTTTCTACATATCTACCTCTGACTCTTCTTTGTAATGAGACTCCTATTCCTCTTGGATTAACATTAAAAACTCTGGCTGTACGTCCATGATAATATTAAAATGGTACTCCTTTATGTTATGCTCCATCAACCAAAATGTCAACGAAATCACCTTTAATAAAAATAGTAAAATTGATACCTCTTCTGAAAGTTTAGAGTGTTTTGCGAATACTTATATTGCCATGTCCTCTAAATGGTTTTGCAAACTTGCTTCTTGTTCCCTTTTTCAATCCATAACTATGAGTCATATTTTTAAGATATTAATTTTTTTTAAAATTATTTATACAAATACCTAAAAATGCTTGTAGATGCTTGATAATGAAAGAAATTCAAATTTATTAATGTATGTTTGTATTAGATATATCATTAAGCTGCAACTGGAGCTTATGGTTTGTTGGCATCCTTTTTTTATGTTGATTATTAAACAGGTCGTTTTCTTTCAATAACACGAATTCTTCTGTCTTCAGCTGATCTAACTCTAACAATACGAGCATGGATGGCACAAGAAACGCAATACTAACTTTTTATTATTAACACTACTTAAAGCTTATCAAATAATTTTGGAATTGACTATTATTATTTGTTTTCATAAGCTGAAGCTTCTAAAATGTCTTTCTTTGATGAAGCATCAACAATATCTCTAACTGTGAATCTTTTGATGGCTTTATCTTTCCCAACTAATCTACAACAATTTGAGCATGTCACTGGCTTTACATGACCTCTATTTTTCTTTGAACGACCATTATTTCTTCTCTTTGATGGCATTTTTCTATGGAATTATTTCTTTTTTTAATAATTTATTTAAAAGGATTTAATTTTTTTTTCATTTTATTTAATTTACTATTATTTTAATAAACATTTATATTCATTTGGTAAATAATTTATCATTTCTTTTATATTTTCCCATCTCATTCTCCCTTCATATTTTTATTTATCATTAAGAAACCTAGAAGAATTCTCTATTTATATCTAAAGTATTTGGTCAATGGTAATAAATATATTAAACTACTCAATCATATTACTATTCATTTCTAATCTAATTTATCTAATATTTCAAATTCTAATAATCCATCCTATTCTATTAACTATTGAGTTAATTAATCATAGAATTTATATTGAATTACTCAACTTAAAATAATCATATGAGATTAATATTGAATTACTCTCTTTTGCATAATAACTTATATATTGAATAAAACAATCAATTTCTCTTTTTAAAAATTTAAATAATCTCTCTCAGAAATTTAATAAATATATCTTAAATTTTATAGGTTTTTACTTCTTGTCTGAAATTAAATAATTCACTAATCCTTTAGAACAAATTGAATTGTTTCTTGGGATCAATGAATAACTATTGTATGTGAATGTACCTTTTTTGTTTGATAAAATTTATTAAAGTTCATGAATTATCCTGATAAAAGTAGAATTCTAACATTATTTGAATCATCCTAAAATTAAGTATCAACTTTCAAAGATTGAAACAATTTGCAAGTTTTTTTTGTCTATAATAAAATTATCAATCCTTCTTAATAGATAGCATCTGGATCTTTTTGACATTTATTCATCTCTAAATGTAACTCTTATTTTTTTATATCTAATTCAAAATGAATTTCTAACTACGTTAATGATAATAATACAGTTTGAATTCTTCTATTATTTTAATAATTAATGAATTAATCTTATTCATCTATTTACTTGATCATAAATAAATGCATAATCTATCATTATCCCATCATTATAATCATTAACAAATCTTTAAATCTGCCTATGCAATATTACAAATTAAGCTGTTAAATTATTTGATCTTTCTTTAAATCATTAATTATGAATGAATAACTCCATTGATCTAAATAATTCTAAACTAACTTCTAATATTTTAGCATGGATTTTTAATTTTATTATTGAAGGAAAATTCATATATATAATCTTTTTACTAATATATTTAAAGTTTTATAAAAATTTTGAAATGGATATACATTAATAATTAATTAAATTAATAACTAATAAGATGTTATAATCAGTAATCATTAATAGGAAATAAAATATTGAGCATATTTTTGAGTTCATTTTAATCTAATGGCTTAGTCAAGTAATAATCCATACCTGCTTCATAAGACTTCAATTTAGTATCTAAATCACAGAATCCTGTATTTGCAACACACCAAGCTTTATTAATAACTTATTATTTCATTAAATTTTTTAATTCTTTAACAGTTTTATAGCCATCTAATATAGGCATGTTGATATCTAAGAAAATTAAACTGTAATATTGATTTTCACATTTATTGCAAGGATGATGTTTTTTGTTATTTACAAGTTATAATGCTTCTTTACCATTGTAAGCAGAATCGCATTTAGATTAATATTTAGTCATCAATAATTTTAGACATTAAATATTAAAGTACTCATCATCAACAATTAATACTCTAGAACAACAATCACTATTAAGACTGCATTGTACTATTGATTATTAAAATTTAGGACTTAAGATTGGAGGATGAATAGATGAAAAACTATTCTCTTCACTCTATTTTCTACTATCTTAAAAAACATTAATTTTCATATTTGATGAAATAATAAATTATTATTAAGAATTGGAGTGTGTTTGAATTAAACTCTTTTATATTTGTATTTTCTTAAAGGATTGCATTTTGACTTAATCTTCGATATAAGTATTTGTAGAAATATATCGAATTGTTTAACTACTATTTTTGAACAATCCTGAAGATTATTTTCTCATAAATTCTTTTGATACCTCTAACTAATGATTTTTTATAAAAAAACTGAATTAGCATCCTTTTATCTTTCGTTTAAGTTAAATAGAATTATTCTTTCCACTCATTTATTTTACTAATTGATTTGATATTCCTAATCCTAATCCTACACCAACTGATTATTAAGATACTCTTACAAATTTATTAGATTATAATAACGAGTTCATATTTTCTGCTTCCTATTCAGTCTATTTTATATTGTATAATATATACATACCATTCCTATTCCATCATCTGAAATTGATATAAAACATTATAAATTATCATTTAAGATTGTTATTGTTATTGATGATTCAAAAGTGTATTTTATTGCATTTTGCATCAATTAAAATAAAACTTATCTAAATCTTACTTTATCATTAACCAAAACACTTGATTGTAAATCAAAACTATATTCAATCTTAATATTCTTATTCTCAATACTCTCATGAAATAATGAAACAATAAATCTAATTTCTGTTTCTATTTCTATTTCTTCCAATTTCAAACTAAATTACTTTAAATTTATTAAATTATAATCTCTAATCGTTCCAACAATCAGATTTAATTGCTCACTATTTATCCTAATTGGCTCCAAATATTTACATTTGAATTGAGAATCAATGTTATCATCCTTTAATGCCATCTTAGTAAATGTTATTATACTATTTAAATTTGTACCCAATTCATGAGATAATGATCTACACATGTCAATCTCCATTGAAGAATCCATCTCTTAAATATTATTCATTATTTATGGAATATCAATAAATTATACTTAAAAGCACCTAATCCCATCTAATAACATACAATTTAATAAAATTGCATTATTTTCATATCTAAAATATTCATTCTTCTCTATTGTCAACAAATTTTATTCATCAATTTACATCTATAACACTATTTTTCTTAATTCACATTATTTTAGTACAGCATCTTTAAGATAATTCAAATTTAAATTTAAAAGTATTTCAAATGCTTAATTATAATAATTTGGATGAGTTATCAAATCTGAAAAATTAATTTATGTTTCTAACAGCTCATATTAATCATTAAATAGTAAAGAATTTTATGGTAGATTTATTCTTTTCGTTGAAATTGTATGGATTAAATTCTATTGTTATTTCAAAGTATCCATTTAAATCTCAATTTTATATTCTTGTTCATCTATTTTTTTTTAATCTTTAAATTCCTCTCTTTATTTTACACTTCTCTCTCTATATAACCATAAACTAAAAATAACTAATTAAACTATATTTATAAACATCTACTCATAATCAAATATAATTTATTCAAGATTGAATATGAACATAGCCATTTATACTAAAATTAAAATTGGTTATTATTGCTTCTATTTTAAGTCTAAATTATTAAATAGTATTTGAGTTTATATTAATGAGCAAAGAATATATTCTTATTTTACTTAATATGCTAGCCAAATGGATATTGTTTTCATCGAAAATCCTATTCCCTAAAAAATTTATTTTCTCTGTTCTTTTTTCATTAATATACATAAAACCTCGAAAATTATACTGCTAGCATAAAGTACAGTTATTAAAAATATAGAAATAATTGAACTGCCTAATAATTATTAAGATTTCGACCTTTATTTATAAAGACTAGATAGGCAAGTTGGCAGATGTCACTAAGTAAAAGATGCTATCTCTTAATCAACATTTTATATTGATATAATATTAATTTAAATTATTTTTTGCTTAATGGATTAAGAGTAATACTGAATAATTTTATTTGATAAACAGTAACAATGTTTTCGTTATTTTTTTTTAAATTGCTGCTTCACTTTTATTCTCAAAGTAATAATTTTTACCAATAGGTTTAAATTTCATCTTTAAAGGAAAATAATGATTATTATCTTAAAATAATATTATTTTTTGAACTTTAAACTTCTTTAGTAAAAAAAGACTTTTTAGGTTTTAATTTATTTTTTTATTCGAAATTTTAAATTGGAATTCAGAATTTTGAGTAGCTCATTTCAAAAATAAAATAAGGTCAAATATTAAAAAATATACAAATAAGCATATTAAAAATAATTGTTAATACCTTATGAAATTATTTATTTTTAAGTTGATTTATATTAATTTTTGAATTATTTAAAGTTGATTAAATAAAGCTAACTTAATCTTAGCTATTAAATAAAATAGAATTTTGAACTCTGTATTCAGTCAGGAAATATCATAATTTCATAAACAATTGTTAATTAAGTAAATAATAATAGACCAATCAATAAATAAGAAACTAAAATCATGAATTTTATAATTTAGACAGTATTATTAATGAAAAATTCATTTAAATAAGAAATTTAAATGGAAGCTCAAATTGTGGAGATAAATTAGATTTAAAATAACGAAGATTTAAAATATGTGAATAAATCATTATTGTAATGAAATGTCTTTGTCATTTAATATATATTTATAATATAAATTGTAATATTAAATTTAATATATATAATGGTATATCAGTGGACAAACTTCGTTTGGGAAACAAATGCCTGGTGGTTGAGAAGAATCAGACCTGTATTTTTAACATTTTTATCATAAAGTTTGTTGTTTTGGGTGCTTTTGCATTTACAGCATTCTATGGAGGCAGATATTACTTTTTCGGCAAATGGGCATATTATAAATAAAGACAATTTACAGAGGCAGAATTAGTTTCTTAAGCTGAAGTTAATAAGAGGTTATTTTTATGTATAAACTTATTAGAAATTGGGGTTATGGTGTTTGGTACAAACCAACTCTTGAAAGAAGCAGAAAGAAACTATTATAAGATGCTTTAAAAGGTATAGTTAAATTAAAAATATTTTAGATAAATACAGATATGCAATGACCTGGGAAGAATTATTTTATGAAGATCCAAGACCAGTAGAAGAAATTCTTGAGGAAGAAAATTCATGGGAAGAATATGAAATTTGATAAAATTAAAATAAGCTTAAAAATAAATATATTCCAATATCTTTTATTAATATTTTTATACTTTAACAATGATTGTGTATCTTAAGTGGCAATTTTTGTAAGTTTTATTATATTTTATTTATTATTTTAATAAATTTTATATAAATTTAGATAAAATGAATAGAATTAATATATTTGTGATTTTATGATTGATTTAATGATTTGATAATAGTTTTTGATTCATTTAAAATATTTAATTGTTTAGAAACTTTTAAGATATGAAGATTATAAAAAAATAAAATAAATTATTGTTTTTTAAAGAATGATAAAGTTTTTGTATGAAATAGATAGTTTTTTTTGAATTAAATAATAAATATGATAATTAATTTAACATGTTGTCATTGTTATGGATTCACTAATTATTGTCCTGCATAAGACATAAAAGTTGGATTATTTCTAGTTTTACTGCCACCAATTCTTCCATTTTTCATATCATATATATATTATTGCAATTCATGAGGTCTAAATCTATTGATAACCATTCTTCTTTCATTTTCTTCAATTTCTTTGGATAATGAATCTCTAATATTTTAATCACCATCAAAACCTTAAGATTTTTATTATTTAGAATGCTATAAAAGAGATCCAATGATTTCACTTTTTGAAGCAGGAGGAGGTGTGAATCCTTTTCTAAAACTAACTTCTTTATTACTTTCTTATTATTATCTCAAATCTCTAGCATATTATTATTTTTAGTTTAATGATTATTGTCTTTATTCTTATATTATTTTATAGTCTTAATCTTATTATATTTTAAGGTTTTATTGTTCTATAATTTTATTATTTTATTATTGTTATAATCTTTAAAGATTCTCAATTCTTTACTATTCCCATTATTTTTGCATTAATATTTACGATTATTTTTATCTTTCATCATCTAAAGAATATTGATAAAGAGGCGCTTACTAATATTATTGTATTTAGTCAGATTAATTTGATGGTTAAGTAATTTAAGGTTAAACTATTAGATTTGGTTATGATTGTGAATTTTATATTTAGATGATTTGTTGTTAATTTTGCAATTGTTAATTTTGCAAATGTTGACGTTCTGCAATCAAATTTGGATCATCATATGATTATGCATATAATTATTTTTAATTTTGAGATTCATTATATTGCTGATTAGGTTTGTAATTAATAGAATCAGGATATTAAATGCTTTCAATATGTTTCTCACTTAAATCATCTAGTTTTCTTTTAGAATCATCATTATATGTATATATTGCACTTCTATTTTTATATGGATCATTCTCATCCCATTTCTTTCTTGCTTAATAACTCTAAGGATCTAAATCACTTCGCTTACTATTTTATTCCCACAAAGATTTTTGCTTTTCTTATTTATAAGCTTATGCTAATTCCAAGTTTTTTACAACTTTACTACGAAGTGTATTTGTAACTGCACCATCAATGTCCTTTGTATTTAATGATCTATCGTAATCTTAAGCTAATCTAAAAATTAATCTTAAAAACAATTTACCTTTTAGGAGGGTCAAAAAGATGTTACATTCCTTAATAAGACTCTAATTCTCCTCTTTAAAAATCTGGATAATGTCTTTTACCAGTTGTTGAAAAAAAGGCTATTCCTTATGGAACAACCTAATCTTAAACTTTGTAACCTTGTTAATAGAGTTATCTGTTGATTTGCTAATTATCATATATCTTTTTCATCCAAAAATTATTATTAAAAATAAAAAATCAATCTAATTCAACAGATATTACAATGTCAGTACTATTCATATAAGTGGAAGCTTGCATCTAGCTAAATTTGAAAGTGTCTTTCAGAATGGAATTTGATAAATACTTTTCAGCTATATTCTTAGAATATTTTATGTTAATCTATAAATTATAATAAATATAAATAAGTTTACTTATTCTGATTAAGTGTTTCCTTGAATTGTTTTCAATTGAAACGGGAATATTTGGGATTAAATGTAAAATTGGCCATCATATTCAATAAACACCTTACATGATATTCTAAAATATAAACATTTTAATCGAAAATCGAAAATTGCAATTTATTTAATCGACCACCCAGAATATCTCTTTAAGAATTATCATTTACAATAAATTTAAGTTCTTTGTAAATGAAATTTCTATTTGTATACTCTGCTCTCACTAGGAACTCTAAAGGTATTCCATGAGTTGGTAAATGAATCAATTTATTTTAGTAATCATTTAAAGTGGTTCCTAAATAAAGTTTCAGCACACCATTAATGTCTATTGCATGTTTTAAATTGGCAAATTGTAAACAAATATGATTTTCATTTGAAAAGGCCAACAAGAGATCCCCATCAGATCCAAGTGCTTATTTCGCAGAATCTAATAGGAATTGGAACTCCTTTCTTCATTTCAATGCATAATTACTTAAATCCATGCTCAAATCCAATCATATACCAATTATCATCATCCAATTAATAATACATCGAGGCCTAACAAAGTTAACAAACATCTTCATCATCACACTCTTAAATATAATCATCTACATCCATTGCATTTGATATTATATTTAATTGTTATTTTAGACTTCCAATAATCTTAGATTCTTCTGGGTATAATTCCAATTTATCTAGACGATCCAATTAACCCATCAAATCAAATGGTCTTTTTCTCAAACTATCATCAAATACATTTTATCTTTATACTAAAAGAGCTAATTGATTCACCTATTGAATAATCCCTTCCAAGATGACACGTTAATCATTTAAATCTGCTGAAACCTAAACAAATCCTATTTCTTTGTTTTTATGTTTATGATGTTTTCCATTCCCTTTTATTTGTTAACCCAATGCTACTAAAATAAAACACATAGCCAAAAAATATTGCATTTATACGTTTTTATATTTAGAATAAATAATAATATTCTTTAAAAATATTATACATCTCTATACAATAATTTAATATTGTTCAGACAAATGTATAAATAATCCAAATAACTACTCTCTATTTAATAATCATATTTTAATTTTTCTTAAATTAACATCATTATTTACATTCTATTCATTTCTTAGATGCCATTCAATTATAAAATTATTAAATTAGATCTATTCTAATACCTTATTTTTATGATTTCAATTAAATAGTATATCAATAGCTCTTATTATTAAATATTTAATTATCTTTTGAATCATATCAAATCTATAAGAAAGGATTTATTTAGATTGATTAGATTACTTTGAAAACATAATTGATAATTTTTCTGAACAATTATTTAAATATATAAGATGTTCTGAGAAAGTAGATTTTTTTTAATAGATAAATATTAATTTATAATGTTTTTGGTTCTAATTGATTTTTTCATAGTACAAGGTGCGTCGAGTCAAATTGAGAATTATCAATGTTTTAGATAAAATATTACTTCAGAGTATGATTGTGAACGTTACTATGAAGGACAAAGTTATTGGAATACAACATCTTGTGTTAAAAATGAAACTGTGATTGATTTAGTTGTAGTTGCAAGTGAGATTAATAATGATCCAACTTATTGTAATTAAGTTTAGAGTAGCCAATGCTCTTAAAATATTAATTGTGCCTTTATTGATGGTATATGTTGGCATTTTACTGGATGCAGTGCTTTTTTAAAAGAGAAAGATGAAGAATGCTAATAAATTTCTATTAGATGCATATCAAACGGCAAATAATGTGTAGAGATAGGACTATGCGATGAATACATTACATAAAAGTCATGTCAATATGATGAAAATGGTGAATATTGTTATTGGAATTCTACAAATTCACAATGCTATATTGCTTAAAGTTGTGAATAGTTGCCAAAATCATTAAATACTGATTAATAATGTAGATAGGAGTTAAATAAATGTACAGTAGCATAATCTGGAGAAGGATGTATTGAGAGTGGTTTGAAATGTTCTGATCATTTATATTAGAACTAATGCTTTTGGAATAGAGATAAAAAATAAGAATGTTTTTGGAATGGAACTAGTTGTGTTGATAAAATTTGTTAGAATGCACTTAATACACTTAAAACAGATGAGCAATGTATGAGTTATCTCGTTATATGTACAACAAAATAAGATGGAGGATGTGTAGAGAGAACTAGTTGTGATGCGGTTTAAATATAGGAAGGATGCAAGAAAAATAGGAAAGGAGATGAATGTTATTGGGATGGTACAAATTGTTTAGACAAAATTTGTATTAATGGTCCTTCAACTTATAAAAGTAATTTGGAATGTGAATAATATAAATAAAATTGCATAACAAACGGAAAGGGTTGTGTAGAGAATGTAAGTTGTAGTTCAGCAAAAATAGAGGATGCTTGTGAGAGTGATATTAATAATAATAAATGTGTTTGGAATAATAATAGTTGTTAAATTGCAAAATGTGAATTGGGTGAGAATAGTTTAATAAGTAATTAAGATTGTTCAAGGTTTTTAACAGGTTGTGTAACTAAGAAAGGAGGTGGATGTATGAAAATAAGTAAATGTTCGGATTACAACATTGAAGAGGCTTGTTTAATAGATGAGGATGGAGATGAATGTTTTTGGAATGATGAAGAAATTTGTGTTGATAAAACATGTGAAAATGCACCTGAGACACTTTAATCTCATGAGGAATGTTAAAATTATAGTGAGATATGTACATTAGATCCAGAAACAAATTTTGGATGTATAGATATGAGATGTGAAAATATAAGAGATTAATAATTATGTATAGAAGATTTAGATGGAAATAAATGTACATATTAGGAAAAGTGTTCAAGTAAAGAATGTAGTTTAGGGAAAAGAACAAGTGCAATAGAATGTAATATATATTTGAATAAATGCACATTGAATGATGAGGGAAATGGATGTACATTGATTCCATTAAGATGTAGAGATAATAGTAAGAAAGAGAATTGTTATTTTAGATTAGATGGAGAATGTGGATGGGATAATCAAAAAAATATATGTGTAGATAAGTAGTGTTATACTGCTGATTAAAATTATAATAGTAATGAATTATGTGACAGATATCTTAAAGGATGTGTAATAAGTAATACAGTAGGTTGTATGATTTTACCAAAATTATGTTAAGATAGAAAGAGAATTGAGAATTGTCATTTTGATGATGATGATGATTGTGTATGGGGATTAGATCAATGTTAATCTAGATCATGTTAAACAGCTTAATTTGAATTAGATTTAATAACTATGTCAGAATGCAATTTATATATAGATTGTTCATAGGATATTACATAATGTTGTATAATAAATAATGACAATAATAATTGTTAAAATAAAAGCACATGTGATGTTTTAGAGAAATCTAATTGTATAACTAATGCTGCAATAGAAGGTAGTTGTGTTTGGAATGGAATTAAATGCATTAATGCTAATGATTTAAAATGTACTGATTATTTTGGATTAAATCATTAATAATGTTATGATCTAAAGAATACATGTACTATTAACAACACTGGAAATGGATGTATGGAATTAAAAGAATGTGAAGAATATGTTAACTCATCTTAATGTATATTAAATTTAAATTAGTAATTTTGTAAGTGGAATTCTGTTTCCGGTATTTGTTTCTCATATACATGTTCTGATGCTCCAGATTCTTATGAATATGCAACAGATGAATAATGTAGAATATTCTAAAGTGATTGTACTTTACATCCTAATATTGGAGGATGTGTTGATAAATTCGACACTTGTGAAAAATATTTAAAAATAGAATCTTGTTTCAAAACTAATTTATCAACTAAAATCAATTGTATTTGGTATAATAATGAATGTAAAACCATTAATGTTTGTACAGATATCAATTTTATTCCTACTTATTCTACAACTAATTGTGAATCTATTCTCTTTGAATGTAAAGTTAATCTAACTAATAATGGTTGTATGCTCAAAACTTGTACTGATTATTATTACACTACTCTTGATGAATGTCAAAGTATAACTTCATGTTCAATTAATAAATTAAAAAATAATTGTATCCCAATGAAAGACTATTGTTATTAATACACAAATAAAGATGATTGTTATTTCTCTCTAAAAGATGGATTATGTATTTCATATAAAGATAGCTGTGTAATAAAAAATTACTCCTGCAATTTTATGTCAGGAGATGATATTACATGTCCTTAATATAGAGAAGCATGTATGGATAATCCAAACAATGATAACTGCAGAAGGAAAATTTGTTAATCTCGAGTATCTCCTAAAACAACCTTAGCTGATTGTTAAGATTTTGATAATGGTTGTACTTCATAAATTGATTTAGCATAATGTACTGATATTATGGCTAGTTGCTAAGATTACTTTTATCTTAATCATTGCCATTATTCTAAATCAGGTTATTGTATAGTGATAAGTTTATAAGGAGAAGATAAATGTTGGGATGTATATTCAATAGAATAATGTAGTTAAATAAGATTTTATTATAATGAGACTTGCGAAAATTTAGATAAATGGTGTACAAATAATCCAGATTTAAAAAGTACATAATAATGTGTTGAAAAGACTTGTAATAATGCTATAAAATCTGAATATAATCATTAGACTTGTTAAGCTTGGTTATCAACTTGTACTTCCAATTATACTCAAACTGGATGCACTGAAATTAAAGATTTATGTTCAGATTACACTCCCCCCAATTGTATCTAATCTTTATAAGGTAAATGCGAAAATGTTGATAATCAATGTGTACTTAGATCATGCAATTATTCCCCTTCCACTTTCTTAAACAATTAAGTTTGTGAATCATATTTAAGCAAATGTACTGTTGCTAGAATTGGAGGTTGTGTAAAAAGATCAGAAAAATGTGATCTATACACTCTTCAATCATAATGCCACTTTGATATCAAAAATAATAGATGTTGGTGGAATCCTACATAAAAATAATGTGTATAACTCAAATGCTCCAACATTGAAAACACTTCCTTATACTCCACTACTTAACAATGCTAATCTATTTAATATATTGATTGTGTCTTAAGTAATACTGGTTTAGGTTGTTAAGATAATCAATAATAATGTGAATCATTTTAATCAAAATCTTCATGTCTTGTTGATATTAAAGGATAACCTTGTCAATGGAATAATAATTAATGTTTCACTAAAACATGCACATCTGCTCCTATTTCTCTAACAACCTTAGAAGCATGTTTATCGTATTACACCTAAGTTAAATGTACTACTAAAACTGGAGGTGGTTGTACATTTTAATTAGATTTATGTGAAGATTATACTGATCAAACATCATGCATCATTTCTAAAAAGGGAGTTTTATGTGGATATGATTAATAAAATTAAAAATGCTTAATTAAGAGTTGTCAAACAGCGCCATTGTCATATACATCACATAATTAATGTTAGAGTTATTTAAATACATGTACAGTCTAGGCTTCAGGTAGTGGTTGTTAAACCATCCCAAAAACCTGTTCAGAAATGACTATGATACAATGTGAAATGAAATATTGCTTATATGATAACGATAAAAATATATGTATTAATAAGACATGCTAAAATAAACCAGATAACATCACAGATTGTACAGAATATTTTGATTAATGTTTCTTAGATACTATAAAATGTAAGACTGCTATATGTGAATATTATTTTTATTAAACAGATGAGGAATGTAAAAATATTATGCCTAATTGTACTACAGATGGATATTAATGTATTCCTAGAAAGAAATGCAACTAATATATAAATGAAATAAGTTGTGTATCTCAACCAGATGGTTAATAATGTTAGTGGATTAGTAGTAATTAATGTTAAATAAGACAATGCAATATTGCTCCTAAAAGTTTGATAACTCATTCAGAATGTCAATAATATCTTAATAAATGTACTACAAAAAAAGATGGAGGATGTACTAATCTAATGTCATGTATAGAATATAACATTTATGAGTAATGTTAAATAGATAGATTTTAAGAACAATGTGTTTGGGATGGAAATAAAAATTTGTGCAGAGATAAAGAATGTAGAGATTACAATGGATCTAATCATAAATCATGTTAGTCAATTTCTTTAGAGTGTACAGCAGATCTTTAAAGAAAAGGTTTTTGCATGGATATTTTAGAATGTTCTATGTATACATAAAAATTACATTGTATAATTGGAAATGATGGAAGTTGTTTGTGGATAAATAATAAATGTTATTAGTATTCTTAATGTGAAGATATTTAATTTACAACTCACAATGAATGTCAATAAATTTCAAAAGATTGTACAACCGATGGAGTTTCATGTGTTCCAATTACATTCTGTAAAAATACTAATCCAAATGGAGGATGTATTATAGGAATAGATGGAGAATGTATTAAAATTATTTAAAATGGAATTAGTTCTTGTTCTTTATATGAATCATGTAAATAAATAGTCTTTACTACTCATGATCAATGTTATTAAACAAAGAATTATTGTACATCTGATGGTGTAGAATGCATTTCTCTTAATGATTGTGATAAATACACTAATCAAGTTTCATGCGTTTTTAATAGCAAAGGAGAAATAATATCAAATAACAAAATACTTTCTACAGGAAATTGTATTTGGGATATCTCTGCTAATCAATGTAGAGATCAAAATTGTCAAGATTTTATTGGTACAACTAATGAATAATGTGAATCATAACTTTATTCTTGTACAAGTGATGGTAAAATCTGTATTCCTAAAATGAATTGTTCTAACTTTACAAATTAAGTTCAATGTTTAATTGCTAAAAGTGATGATGGATATTGTTTTTGGTCAAATGACAAATGTGATCTTATTTCTTGTTCAAATATTACTAAACCAACATCAGTTGAATAATGCAAAGATCAAAATATTAAATGTACTTATGATGGTCAAACTTGCATTACTGTTTCGGAATGTAAAGATTATAAAACATAATCTTCCTGTAATTCTAAAGGAACTGATGGATTTTGTTCTTGGATACCACCTATTTCATCTAATGTTACTACCACTATATAACGTAATAAATGTGAACTCAAAAAATCATGTTAACAATCTAATTAAGATTAAATTTCTTGTTTGTAAGTTAAAGATATTTGTTATTTTAAATAAGCTACAAACACATCATCAAGTTAATGTTAAGAACACACTTGCTTCACTTATTATGAATAAAATAAAAAATGTTCATTCTTTTATAACTGGAATAAAACTCAAATAACATTATGCTAATTATAAAATAATACATGTAATCCTATTGCAGATCCAACACTTTTAAGTTCTAAAGATTGTTACATGCTTTCAGGTTATACACACACATACAATATGACAACAGCAAAATGTTAATCTTGTGAACCACCTAGAAAAAATATCACTATCACTGTCAATCCTAATTTTGCTAACAATCTTACTATCTTTTTGATTTCATTATTATTTTTTGTTTGACATGTATTAATGAATATATGATTAATTATAATGCGTTATTAAAATTTATTCTAAATAATTTAATCATTCTTTGGTAATTAGAGACTTCTTTATATTCAATATTTATATTATATTGGTCTTTGTTTTAAGTAATTATTAAGGGTTCCAATAAATTTCTGTAAGCTACTAAAATGAGGATCAAATTATAAATATGAAAAAATCATTTGGTTTGAATTCTTGACAGATATAATATGAAGAAAATGAAATAAATAATACTTATTAATATACAAATTCAAATATTAATGCATTTTTTTATTAATATTTATGATAGCAAATGAGTTCAGTTAATAAAAATGATTTTTTTAATTATTGTTTAGTTAGTAGGCTGATAAATAAAATTAAAAAATTAAATTAGTAAAATAAATTGAATTGTATGCATCTTATATAGAGTTATAAAAAACAACGATAGAAGTTAAAAAAAGGATGTATAAAAATAAAATTTAGATTATTAAATGAATGATTATTATTTATATTAAAAAAATAAATATTATATGAATAATTTTGAATTAAAAAAAAATCATTAGACAATTTCTAGATTTCTTTATTATAATTATCTATTGGTTAAAGCTTTAATTTGAATAGATTTTTCGTATTTCATATCAGGAATAGCTTGTCTGGTTTATTCAATGAATTTGATATCATGATTTTTAAAGTTTGGTAATTCTTTTTGTAATTCATTTTTAAATGCACTATATTTTTAATAATATTATAAGAAACATTCTTTCATGGCTTTTAAATCTCCAGCAGTAGCCTTATAATAATAATAATATTATACTTATGTAAGATCATCAACAATATATGGGAAAGGATTACTTAAATAAGGTTCTGCCCAAGTATGTGTTTCAAGTAGGACATCAAGTAATGCCATTTTTTCAATTTAATTTTCATCTGTTTCTCCAATTCTTCTAGGTGGTATACGAGTAGCTTCAGTGTAATTGATACCTTGTGGTGCTTCGACCCAATAATTATTGATAGGTACTAGATGTGGGATTCCAACATATGCATTAATAGTTTCACAACCTTCAAAAGCACTCTTCAACATAGCAGTAAGATACAAATCTTTAGGTGTTTAGAATACATGTGGTAAGAAATCATAAGCAGCTTTTCTAAGAGTGATAGGGATATCATTCATTTATTTAGTTTTTTATAGAGTATATTTAAAAAGGTCTCGAGCTTCTTAGATTTCAAGTGTGGAACCTATGTTCAATTTATGTAAATGATCAGGCATATCAGCTAAGAGAACTTTATGTTTACCCATAAGTGCCGTATATAGAACACGATTAATGAGATAATATTCTGAATATCTATGATTGATGATATGTTCATCGATAGTTTATATAAATAGATTTTTATTGGCTTCTTAAATTTCTTTAGATTAGATATTAGAATAGGAATAAGTACTAAGACCTTTAGACCAATCAATTTCTTCCATATTTTTATTAGCATTTAACATATCTAATATAACTAGATTGACAACAGCTTCTTCCCAAGCATGAGGTTTAAGTGGATCAATTAAAGGTGTATCATATTATTCATATCCTTCAACATTTTGAAGTGAACATTTATGTGCTAAGAATCTTTATCTAGCAATATATGGTGATGGATCTAATTATAATACAATAAGATCTGGATGCATTCTAAATATCTAATTATAGAATACTATGTATTAAGACTGTTAAAGAGATCATAATTCTTAAATTTATCTTTAGTTTATCCATATGGTACTCCAGTAACATAACAAGTATCAGAACTTTCATGATTATTTGCAAGATAACCTTGATTAGCTGCTTTCAATGGTTTAAGTTTAATTGATTTAGGTGTTTTAGCACCATAAGAATCTCTTTAGTTAAGGAAATAAAGCTCAGATGATAGCTATTCATAAGAATATCTCAATGTCAAATTGAGAGATCTAACAATTTTAATTCTTTATAACATAAATAATGTTAGAACATAAGAGAAATCACTCTTAGAAAATTAGAACTGTATTAATAAGATGTTATGATAAATAAGTGTCAATTGAAATAGCAATGGATAAGAGTGTAGCTGATCTAATTAATAAAGTAAACCTATTTTAATATATTAGTTACGTGAACATACAGCAACTCCGAATTCGTAATAGTTAGTTGCTCTAAAAACTACTTCAAACTCTATTACAATGGATTATATATTATCTGTGCCAGAAGAAAGAGGTATATACTTTTATTAATCATATAAATTCAGCTTAACTGCCCATACATAAGTTGAAATAAGAACCTCTTATTGCTATCTATAGATAAAATGTTCATAAATCTAATCTCACTCTTCTAGACTTTACTTTTGAAAGATGCATTGGTAAGGGAGGTACTTCAGAAGTGTATCTGGTACGTCATCATATGTCTGGACGATTATTTGCACTTAAAATGATCAAAAAACAATATATTACTGATTGTAGAAGACTTGAACAAATTCTTAGAGAAAAGAAAATTCTCTCTCAAGTTCTTAATCATTCTAAATTCATTATACCCTTATATGCAACATTTGCTACTAAAGATCATCTATGCTTTTTAATGGAATACTCTCCTGGAGGTGAAATGTTTTATCATCTATAAAATTATCGTTTTACAGATGATGAAGCTAAGGCTTACATTACAGAAGTCATCTGTGCTCTTGAAGAACTTCATTAACATCGTGTCTTATACAGAGATTTAAAAGTAATTATTCTTATTTTATATTCTAGCCAGAAAATATACTCATCGATCTCAGAGGCCATATTTAACTCACTGATTTTGGTTTATCTAAACTTGATCTAACTGAATAATAATTAACCAATAGTTTCTGTGGATCTCCTGAATATATGCCTCCAGAAATTGTTAATAGATAAGGTTATTCCTATCCTGCTGATTTCTATACCTTAGGATGTCTACTCTATGAATTATTATTAGGATTACCACCTCATTACTCATAAAATACTGAAGAAATCTTTCACAAAATTTAAAATGAAGATATTTCATTCCCTGATGACTTAAGCACTGATCTCATGTCATTATTATAAAGTCTCTTAAATAAGAATATCAATCAAAGAATTCATGATTTCCAAACTCTCAAAAATAACTCTTGGTTTAGTAATGTTGATTGGCAAGTCATCAAATTAAAAAAAACTAATCAAATGCCTATATTCATTGATATCTATGAAACACACATTCATCAAGAATTTTTAAAGATTGATGTTACAGATCTGAATCGTAAAAATGAAATTGGTGAATTAATCAGTTAAGAAGATCTCTTTGATTTTTTCAACTATGTTAATGAAACATACAAGGACATCTTTTAATTGAAATAAAAGATGAGAGTTCAAAGTGATCATCTAATTGATAAAAAGCTTTTGTAAATGAGTTAATCTACTACAAAAAAGAAAAATCTTTAATTAAATTTATAAGAAATAGACAAATAATTTTCTAAAACTCATACTTAAAAGTAATCACTTACTCCATAGAGCATAATGCCTTTGTCTTTATTACGTAAATCATTTTAATAGATGATGAAAGAGAAACCAAGAAAGAGTTAAGACAATCATCCAACTTTAAGTACTGTTTTATCAGAGCGTCCTATAATAGATCGTAATTATGTATAATATTATATAAATTTTTAAGATATAAAGAATGCTGTAAACTCTAACAAGCAAGAAGAAACCACAAAGCCCTGTACACAATGAATTGTCTTGGAGACCACCTCAAGTTAAAAGAGGCCCTAGTTCATCAACTCATTTGAAATCATCTATAAGTTAACGAGGATAGAGTTCGACAAGAAAATAAAAATGATTTACTACTTATTATTAGAAATATCATTCTACTCTACTTAAATCAGCCTAAGACTAGTTGTCAAATCCATATCTATCAACAAATACCTCTGGATAGATCTTATTATAAAAACGAGGAACAGAAAGAATTGTTGGATTGATGTCAGGAGATAATGATTCATTATCATCCTTTTCTCTATTGAAATAAATCTAAATTTTCTTACTTAGCTGTCATTTCTAATGGATGCATCTAATACAAATGATCTCTCTTTCTATTTTAATCTTTCACTATTCCCATTAAATACTCTCTTATCATTTTAAATCTTCTTTTTATTCTATCACGTTGTTAGGCTCTATTAATTAATAATTTTCTCATTAGCCAATTCTTATTCTATAAATCTGGAAATTTAGCATTGATCTTATTTCTAATTTTATCAAGTGCTTCTTCTTGACCTTCCAATTAAGCCCATAAAATTTCCCATACCACAGCTGTTATAAAAACTCCATTTATTACTATTAAAAATATGTAGAATGGCCAAATTATCTCTTAATTGTCAGACTAATTAGCTGAATATAAAGTCATTCCTAACACAATTGATGTTCCACAAACTAATGTACTCATATCATCTAAATAATTTAAATAAGGTAATTTGTATGGTTTATATTTTTTGGTTAACATAGAATATATGAATACTATGATGAAAATCAAGGCAGCTTTAATAATAATTAGATCCTCGTAGAAAGTTAAAAATAAAATGATAAAACTCTTTTAAAATATCTTGACTATTTCCCAAAAGTAAGCTTTTGGCTAATATTCATTATACAAATAACCCCAATTTTTTCTGCTTTATTCATCATTCAGTTTATCTTTTATCTTGTACATACTCAAAAACATGTAGGTTGGTATGATTAATGCAAGAGTAAATGCAGAGGGAAATACAAATGATAGAATCCATTTTAAATGCTAGGCAGTATCGTATCTATAAGCAACATTGCCTTGAACCCAATAGATATTTGATATTTATCTAAATGATAATAATGAAATAAAGCCTCCAAGTAAAGTAGGTTATAAAAAGGTAAATAAATATATAAAAGTAGTAGATATTGCACTTTTACTGGCAGTTGCTTTATGAAGAATAACAGCAATTCCATACAATAAAAAAAATGTTATAATGTACATCATAGGCATAATTAATGCCCAAATCATTCTGAAATACATTACATTGATATCTGAAATTTTGATTAAAAAACAATCTAAGGAATAACTCATAGATTCAACAGGTGATCCAACTGTCTTAAATGCATTAGTAAGTGCACTTGGTAATGATAATTAGAATGTGGAAACAACCCCTATAATTTATAAATAATTAGTAAGCACTTTGATTAGAATACCTGCATAACCAGTTTTAGGTTATTCAACAAAAAACTTAGATAATTTTTTACCTAATACCATATTTTAAACAGTTTCCATGGTACTTTTAACTGAAAGCATAATAGAGATTAAAGTCCTAAGTATTATTGTTATTATAATTACCATAAACTAATAAGAACTACTTTGAGTGTATTATCTCCTACATCATTACAACTACCACATTTATATTATGCACTAACTGACCATTTTCCTTTTCCCATAATTTCATAGATATCGCATTATTCACATAAAGCTCCTATATGGCCTAAATAACATGAAGCATCTCCAGGAGTCCATCCTCCTTCACAATTAATTTGCATATTTAAACAATATTCAATCTTTGTACTATAAGTATAGGGTCTCCAATATCCTGGTCTTAATTTAATACTAGCAGAGGTAACAGCTTCTGTTGATACTATATCTTTAACTTAGCAAGTTTCTCCTGCTTAAACTGAATATTAATCTTATTAAGAATCACATACAAGACAAGTTCCATCTTCATCTCTCTTTTGTTCTCCAACTTAACAATCAAAAGATTATACATTCACTCGTAATCTATAGTTTTCGATTTGATATTTTAATAAATATGGAGGTTCAAAATCAAATATTGGTATTCTTATTGAATTACATAATAATTCTATTTACAATACAGCCTATGAATTTGATTTTGGATCAAAATAAATAATCATTTCATCCAAATTATAATCTTATGAAGTAGAATTGAAATTTATCTCTTATAAACTTGTATATGGAGAGTTTTATGTACTAGAGAGGTTTTCCATATTTTTTGGATCTATTTCAGTTAAATTGTTTATATTTATTTTTCTTGAATAAATTAAACATTTACTACCTTCTAAATTTTCTATTTTATTATTTTATTTATTAAGTGCAATAATTCTGAATGTCAAATTTGAAGATAAGTATTATTATGATTCTTCATCAAAATATTTATATGAATTAATAGCTTATCCACTTGGTAATGTGATATAGTTTTTCATTTTATTAGATATATTATATGGTTTTATAGTTATAACATCAATAATTGTTGTTTAATTACTAAATAATCTTTCTTTTTCTAGATAATTTTATCCACTATTAACAGATAAAGTCAATTAATTGGGATATTCAGCATAATTTTATCCAAATAAAAGTGCTGTATTATTTCTTAATTGTAGATTCAAAATACTTGGTGAATTTAAAGTATAATTCTATAAAAAGAAAGCACCTCCAATTTTAGCTTAATTTCCACTGATATCTGAATCATAAATATTCATTGTAGCCTATTTAGAAATGAAATAGATAGCTCCACCTGATTCAATAGCAGAATTAGATTAAAATTTACAATTGTCTAATAGTACATTAATATCATTAACATAAAAGACTCCACCTTTAGTACCAACATTGTTAATAAAAATTCCTTAACGTACAGTAACTGTATAAATAAGAGAGTTTTTAGCAGTATCATCAACTAATAATCTCAAACTATTTTGATTATATTATTATTTGAAAACAATGCAGCTCAATTAACCACACAATGATGAATAAAGTTAAAAGTTTTATAGAGTAACAATATTATTCCCAAGATTAAAGAAATCTGTAAATTCAAATTAGATTAATCCTTATGTGCATTTTTAACATATGATTGATTAAAATTTAGTATCTTAAAATGTAATAAAGTAATCTTAATCAATGTTAATGATTGAAATTAAAGATTATGGATTTGCTTACGCTAATTATACATTTTTAAGATTTTAATTTGAATAATAATCAATTATAGTTTGATTCATATCAATACCAATAAAGGTAGGTGCATTTTAAGAGTAATCACATGTTAAAGGTAAGGCAACATAAGATACTTCACATTCAGGAACATTATTTTAAATATAACTGAATACAGAAATATTTAAGAAATATACATTTTAAAAAATGATGACTGAAACAGCAGTTAATGAAATAAGTGATTAACTACCTGTAATGTAATCATTAACAATAACATTTTTTAAAGTTAATTCACCATTAGATAATTCCATTAAACCATTCATATAATCTGTGAAAGTACAATTTTATAGAGTTACTTTTCCTTTAATAGAGAATATGAAATTCAAATGATAATCACTTATTTCTGATTAAGATAATTGATAAAGTTATCCTAAATATTATTGAAATCCATAAAATGAATTTTATAATGTTAAATTTTAAGCTTCTAAATTTAATTGATTTGATCCAAATGTTTTAATAAATGAATAATATATAGAATAAGAATCCTTAATTAATACATCTTTAAGAAACATCCTATTCTCACTACTAGATGGAATCACATAAATTACACCACCTTCTCTTCTACTATAACTGTTCAAGAATGTACAATTTATAATACTCATTTTAATTTAAGATGAAGCTGCATCTATAAAGATTGATCCTCCTTAAGCATTTGATACTTATTCCAATGATGCTTTACATTCCTTAAATAAAATATCTTAAAATTACACCACTCCATCAGATTAAGGCTATATATATAATGCTCCACCTAATAATGATATTGAACCTATTATATTCACATCTCTAATTATTGTTGAATTTGCTGATAAATATCCACTACCTCCAAATGTCTTTATTGGAAACGCTTAATAAAATTCTTCTTATTTTGGTATTGCGAAACTCTCAAGTCCCCACACTATATTTTCTTATATTACATTAAATTATAATTAATTTGAATATAGAAAACTACAAGTACTTATTGTTATACTATTACATTTCAATACCAAATTTGAATTTTATCCATTTGTTGCTATATTCTTTTCAAAATTATTTCTATTCAATATAATACTTGAATTAGGACTAGAAAATAATAATGTTGATGATGATACAAAAGATAAATCTGATATGTAACTATGTTAAAAATTATACAAAAATTTTGAATCTTCAATCAATACATTCTGATTCTATTCTGATATTATTGATATTATTGCTTATAATTCACTAATTTTACTTAAAATCAATAAATTCTCACTAAACATACTATTTCTTATTCTTATTGATTCACTTTATCGAATTTTTAATCTATCTGAAGATTTTATTGATATCAAAGGTTAATTGATACTTTTAATCTTCTATAATGAAATGTAATTCATATCAATTTCTTTAATATTATACATGTACAATATTGTTGTATATATTTAAGGTATAGCATTTGCTGAAACACAAGATAATCGATTATTAAGTAATCTTAAAACTTCAGAATTTCTTGTGACATCCAAATTCTCTATCTTAACTTTATTACTATTTAGTATTGCCATTTCTGGGAAAGTCTTTCCTCTAACAATCTTTGTATTTGTAAGGATTAATTCATAACTGTCAAAATATATTGTAGAATTTTCTGATGCTATGTATTTTTATTGTAATTTATTCAGACTGTATAATTCATTTTAATTTATTACTAAATCATTTATTGTAATTGCTAATCCAATAAATGTTGTCTAATAAATTTCCATAAATGCTTTATTACCTAAATATTAATTGAATTCAAATTTTATTTATTACATATTGATAGCATTTCCATCATTTGCATCAGAATATTGAACTGATGCTTTATTTGAAATTAATATAATATCATCTGTACTTAAAATATTATTTTTCACTTCTAAATTTGTAATCTAAAATAATGGTAAAATTAACCATCTACTTTTTGAACTCAATTTTGAATGGTCTAAAATCATTTAATTAATATTAACTTTTTTTACTCCCTCAAAACTAGCAAAAGTTGATTCTATAACTTCATCTTGTGATTGTGTAAATTAATTAATATCAACTATTGCCTTTCTTATATTTAGAGGGAAATCTGTACGAAAAGCATAAGATCCTGTTAAAAATTTATTAGTTGTAAAAGTAATAGATTAAAATAGGATTTTTTAATTGTTGTAATTTTCAGATAATTTAAATAAAAAGATCTTTGAATTAGTAAATTTACTATTTTTTATTTAAATATTCTTGAATTATAAAGTGACATCATCTTTATTAAGATTTCCAAAACATTAAATGATTCCATTTGAATTGATTATTGAACTATCTTGAATAATAAATTAATCAACATTAACAGATGTTGCATTTTCAATTACAATTGAAAAGGATATATCAACAACATTCATGGTGATACTATTTAATATCAAATCAAATTATACTGAATCATAAAAGTAAAGATTTTGATTCTTCATTGAACTTGACAAAGTGAAATCTTTCATTAAGATTTAATTAAATCCTGTAATAATGAAGTCTTGATTAAAAATCACATTAGTAGTGCCATAGAATTCAAGATTTATGTTTTATAATGTAAATACATTCTTTCTTAATTAAGACACAATTTAAAAATTATCAGGCATTTAGCATTATAAATTAGGATCATCATTGTATAATCTCATTTTAATTGTCATTTCTTTAACAACTTTTTAGTTGAATACTAATGTATGAGTATCCGATTCATAAATTGGTAATTTAAATTAAGTTAAATCTTAATCATAACCATTTAAAATAGTAGAGATCTTTTTATTGCAATACAATTTAAAGTCAATCAATGCTTTTTATTTACATGGTGAAGAATTTGAACATTCTATAAAATTATTCAATCCAAAATCATAATTTAAATTTACAGTTGGTATAGTATAACTTTTAATACAAATATGACTAAATGTAATGAAATCAATGTTTGATGGATCAAAATAAGGATTAACTGCTTATAATGATTACTTATCTCTTTTTTTACATAATGCACAATTATATGGACATTCAATACATTCCCCATTACTTAAACTTAATTTTTAACCATTTGTATTATCTGTACATTAAACACAAGTAGCTTATTCATTTATGATTTCACATACTTTGCAATTGGAATCACAAGATTTTATACATTTACCTTAATAATATTCAAATCCTTTTAAACAAGTAGAACATTTTATATCACCATCTCCTGTTTTTAAGACTATATCTACAAAGTCTCCACCATATAATATATTATAAAATGATTTAATATCAATTTTCCAAGAATCTTAATAAAATCTATCTTCTAATTAACATGTCTTGCAATTTCGATCAACATCACATTCAGCAGTAGTATTTGTAGAATTAGTTAATTCATAGGATCCTTATGGAATTTTTATTTCACTTAATAGTATATTTTGACTATTGAATTCTATATATCTTGAATTTGATGGTAAATTTAAATCAATTACACAGGAAGTCTATTTATTGATTGTTTATGTATCACATAAAGCACATTTAACAACAACATCTTCTTTCTTTTATATTATTGGATAATCTTTAAGTAATGAAATAGCAGATGAATTAGAAATACTTTCTTCATAAGCAATCTAACAATGATTTATTTTATTTTCATAACAATTCTTACCATCTAATGATAAGTAATACTATTTATAATCTACACATTTAAAACATCTTTATTAATCACATATTTAACAACTCCAACCACATTAAATACAATTTCCTTCTGATAAATAAAATCCAATTGGACAACTAATACATTATGGAATATCTCCATTAAATGTACATTATGGACAAATATCAGGACATTATTTACAAAATTGATGATTTACCAAAACAAATCCATCTTAACAATTTTTACATACATATTAAGAATCGCAGATATTGCAATTTTCATTTTAATTTATACATTAATTATTATCAGCCTTACTACAACTTTTACATTAAATATATGATCTAACTCCTAAATGAAATTGAGTTATTAATTTGCTTTAATCAATTTATGATATTTCTGTTACAATTTTCAAACATTCGTTACATAACTCTAGAATTTATTCTTTTGATATTGTAAAAAGTTAATAAGCACTTTCCATTCTTTCTATTAATTTAAAAGCATTGTTTGGAATTTAATTATAAGCTTGATAATCAAATGTGCAAACAGGATTTTAATACCAAATTTAATTATTAACATAACAATCTCCACACTGAATTTATGAATTACTAATAATAGAGGGACAATTTAGACAGTATTAATTATTGTCTTCATTTACTAAAAATTATCCAAGAGAACATTAATTGTTTGAGACAGCTTCTGAGAATATATTAGAACCTAATCTTTCTATAAAACCTATTGAATTTATATAAACGTTTACTTTAACATGTAACTAAAGTGATATCAATATTTTCAACATAATTTCTATCACATTAACATTAACTATTAATAAGAATTCTAAATTAAGAGTCTTAACAAGATGTACATTAATTAGATTCTGGACCTACACATTCTTTACAAAGAATATTGCAATCTAAATATGATATGAATTATTATTATTACCTTTAACCATTGTAAAAGTATTGCCAAAACAATATTCAAGTTTTAAAAATGCCATTTATCCTTACAATAAGGCTTCAGAATATTTATCTCTTCCTGCTATTAAAACTAGTTTTTATGTTGTGAAATGATTTTTTTTCTCTACAAAATATTCTAATATCTCAAAGTCTTTGAATTTAAAATAAATTTTAGTATTTCCATATCCAGTTTGAGCCTCAATATAAGTTCCATGTTGAAATGAAAAGTAATGCCATTAAGTGATTTAATCTTCATATTCTAAACCCTAAACACTCCATTTATCATCTTCCTTTGTTTTATAGAAAGATAATTAAGAATAAGTAAATGAGAAAGTATGTACTGATATATTTGTATTTTCTGGATACTAATAATCTTATTAATAACTCAACCACATTTATCTATCACCTTATAAATAATCATCTGCATAAAAATCAAATAATGCCATACGTATTGCAGTATATTTAGATGTTTTATTTACTAAGTTAACTTAATCCAATTTAATCCATGAAGAAACAGCATAATTTCCTTCAGCATAAAATAAATTTTATAGTTTAGCACCTAATTTATTGAAATTATGAATAGAATCAACCATAAAATCAATTTACTTACCATCTGAACACATATCAGGAAAAGTACATGCTACACTTAAAGCTGTATTAAAATCTGCCATACTTTCATAATATTCATCTTTAAAAAGAATTTCACTTTTGTATCCAAAATAAATGTATGATGCTGCTGAATCTGGAATTATATCTTAATATCCAGCTGAAAAACCTGATTTTCTTCGATTTTTCTTATCTTTTTCAATACCAGAAACAACATATGTTTAATCATAATTACTATCTACTAATAATTTATAATAAAATCGAAAATCTCCTGTATCTATTTTTTCACAAAAATATAAATAAGCCCATTTTCCTTCTATCATAACTTTATCCAAACTAAATTGATTTTTGAAAGCATAATCACCAAATTATTCTAAAACTACATAAAATTCTTATGAGTCAACTTAATTTATTAGGTAAATTTTGGTATATATTGTGGTTCTTAATGTATCGAATTCATATATAAACTATAAATTTGGCACTGATGTTTTTTTAAGTTCTGTTGTATTTAACATTGGCATCCATCTATGCCACATTCCATAACCTATTATATTCTTCCCTGTATAATCCTTAATTATCATATCATTTAATAATCTATTAACAGGAGATGAGACAGTATCAAAATTAAAACAAGGAGCAGCTTCAGTAAAACATCTAAAATCATCATAATACTTACATTATAAAAGCAATAATCATAAAAACGATCATCTTATAATAATAATAATAATAATTTTTTTCAATTCATTTAAGCAACTTAAATAATTTTGAATCAAAGTAATATTGTTCAAAAATAAGTTTTGCACATTAAACTTTTAATATTAAATCAATAATTATTTAAGGAACTGTTTTTTTGAAATAGTTTCTATTTTTCAAATTTATTTGACAAATATATTAAATCAATAATTCTCAAATAACCAATTGTTGATATAAATGAGCTTAAGAATTAAAAACAAAACTTGATTATTCATTTAAAAATATTAAAAAACTGAATCATATAATCATAATCAGATATATTTAAATTATTATTATTGTAAATATTAAATTCATTATTATTGATTTTCTTATCAAAGTTTGACTTTTCAAATTATTTTTAAATAACTTTTAAGAGGTAAACATAGTTAGTTTAGAGTAATAAAAATTTTTATCAATTGGATTTAAACAATTAATCAATTATAAAATTATACATAATATAAGACAAATGGATTAAAATCAGCTTAAATTAAATTTTAGTTAATTCATTGTAGAGAAACAAAATTCTTACACAGATGACTATAAATTAGGAGTAAATATTAAATTTTTATTTATTTAGGGAGTTTTAGGGGTTGGTGCATTTTCATAAGTTCGAAAAGTGACTCATAGAAAAACTAGAGCAATAAGAGCAATGAAAGTTATAAAATATTTTATATTAAATGATAGGTAATTAGTAAATCAAGACTTTCTACGACAGAATTGCAATAAAAGTTTATAAATGAAATAAATGTGTACAAATAATTAGATCATCCTCACATACTTAAATTATATGAGTTCTATTAGGATGAGAAAAATTACTATATAATTATAGAATTATGCACAGGGTATATATTGAAATGGAAAGTAGAGGAGAATTGTTTGATAAGATAATAGAGAAAGGGAGTTTTTCGGAAAAAGAAGCATCTTATGTAATGAAATAGATAATGTCTGCAATTTTATATGCTCACAATTCTAGTATTGTACATAGAGATTTAAAACCAGAAAATGTGTTACTTGATATAACTAGTTAAGGGAATTATAATGTGAAAGTTGTAGATTGGGGGACAGCAAAAATATTTTCACCAAATCAATAAATAAATGAAAAATTTGGAACTTTATATTACATGGCACCAGAAGTATTGAAACGTAATTATAATGAAAAATGTGATATATGGTCTTGTGGTGTTATTTTATATATTTTATTATCTGGGATGCCTCCATTTAATGGAAGAACAGATGCTGAGATTTAAAAGAGCATATTACATGGTAAATATTAATTAGAGGTAAAAGAATTTGGTTATATTTAAAAGGGCGAATTATGGAATTCTGTAAGTTGTAATGCAAAAGATCTATTAACAAAAATGTTATAATATGATGTATAAAAGAGATTGAGTGCTAAATAAGTATTAGAACATGCATGGTTTTTATAATAACATTAAGAGAAAGTAGACAAATAAGTAGTGTAAGGTAGATTAAAGAATCTAATGAATTTCAGAGCTGAATAAAAGTTATAATAAGCAACATTAATGTTTATTGGTACAACAATGATATCAAAGGAAGAGAAGAATTAGTTAGTAGTTATTTAATGATCTATAAGATGTAAGCTTTTAAAGAGATGGATTCAAATGGAGATGGGATCCTTACAAAAGAAGAGATCCTTGAAACATATAAAAAGTATATGGATGATGAAACAGCATTATAAGAAGTTTAAAAGATTATGGATTTAGTAGACATGGATGGTTCAGGTACAATTGATTATACAGAATTTATTATTGCATCAATGGATAGAAAAAAAGCAGTTTAAAAAGAGAAATTGAAAGAAGTAAAAATTTATATATATAAATTATAAAGGCATTTTAAATATTTGACAAAGATGGTAATGGATATATTTCAGAATAAGAAATTAAAGAAGTTTTAGGACCATCTTTAACAGGAATTGATGAGAAATATTGGTTAGATATGATTAGAGAAATTGATAAAAATGGTGATGGATAAATCAGTTATGATGAATTCTGTGAAATGATGATGAAAATCATTTAATGAAATATATAAACTAATTTCATCTTTATAAAAAACGTTCTAACATTGCCTTAAACATTTCTTACATTTATGAATGATATTATACAGCACGATTCCCAATTTTATTTGAAGTATCTTACTGTTTTTCTGCTATTTCTAACATAGTATTATCAAAATGCATTTCTAAAATATCTTTCCATATTATATAATGATTCTCTAAATATAATAATTAATAATAATATACATTCTAATCTTTATAGAAGATTTACATATTAATCTTTAGCATTCATATGTGTATGTTTTGATTATACGAAAAAAAGCTCTTTTTCTAATTAATCAAATGATTGCTCAAGTTAATCATTCATCATTGTTATTAAATATTCTGATATAACACTTCTCATTAAACTTAATAACTATATTGATTCTTCTTTTTTATAAGGATTTGTTTTTTCACGAAATAATTTATCAACGCTTTTCATAAAAAAATCAACTTCTTATTTCTACATTTATTTAAATGAACCTATCATTATCTTAGACTCTAATAACTCTAAAGCCTTATATATGTCTTATTCATCATTTGATTCTAATACTAATCAAAACATTTTATCCATCTATTTATACCTTCTTATATTTTTAGATGCAAATAATTAAATTCCTCAAAACGTTTACTTATATCTTCAGATTAAGAATGTTTTATCTTCCCTAATTCTTTAATATCTCCTTCTATCAGTTTTTCCTTATTTTATTATACAATCATACTTTATCTCCTATTATACGTTTTATCTTATCAATTGCTTCTGGAAAAGTTTCCCTTAAAAACATTTTCATGTCTTCCTTCTCATTTTTATGACAAATCTATTATGTCTTCATTGATTTTAATAACTTTTAACTTCAAATACTACTTTATACTTCTTAATAATGCTCTATATATATTGTCTAACTTTCTTCTTCAAATTCTAAATTTTCTTTTGCTCTTCCCTCTAATTTCTCTAAAGCAGTATAATACTCCAACTATGAAAGGAATTCTTTTATGTAATTCATTCGATTATAAACATCTATCACATATTATTCCTCTTTATGCACGTATGCAAAAGTAGCTATAGAAAATAGAATTATTAATAACATTAATATTGAAAAAACAAGCATTATCTTATACTCAATAAAAAAGACTCAAATTTAATATCAATCAATCTCAAATTTTAAACAATTTTTATAAATCCATTTCATTTTCATCTTACATTCCTAGAAGATCAAAATCAAAAACTAATAACAAAAAATTCCCTTTTATTCATTAATCATCATCTTTTGACTTTTAATAATTATAAAATCATCTCCTTTAACTTTACAAATAATCTAATTTGAGACAGAAAATTGAGATTCAAGAAAATTTTTATAAAATATTTTTATTTAAAAATCAATTAACGTACATTACAAAGAAGTCTAATAAAATAATTAATTAAAATTTTAGAAACTAATTAGTTAGATCTTTTTTTAAAGAACTTTATTTGTTAAAATATTTGATGATATTCTTTATATAATTATAATTCAAATTCTTAGATTGTATAATCAATAAAAAATTGTATTGTATAAAATTATTGCAAGTTCTAAATTTCTATTCTTTAAAAAATAAAAAATTAATAAAATTGAAACAAGACCACAACAAAAATATGAAAAAGATTATTATTAATAATTTGATTCATTATTAATGCATTTCTTTCCAAAATTACATAACTTTTCCTGACATAATTTAATCGACTAAATTTATGAACTCTTATTCTGGACTATTAGCTGGAAACTTATAATTCTCAACTCCTTAAAACAAATTTTATTTATTTGGAGCATATAATTAAGTTGAAAAGTCTGGTAATAATAAATTCAAGTGTTTACAATCTTCCGATGTAAATTTAGGAATTGCTGGTGGAAATACCTAAATTATTTATTTATTATTTTACTTTTAATTTATCTAAATTTTCTTTTTATTTTTTATGATAATTTTTAAGAAAAATAGCTGCCATTTTTTTAAAGCTTTCTTTATCTCCTCCAGTTTATAAATAAGTCTAATAAAGCATTTAACCAACATGAGTTTAAAATTCCATTTTAGATCCAACTAAAATATTTTAAGTTTGTTAATTTGGTGCATCATTAGCAAGTTAATCAGCTTCATTTACTTTCTTTTATTTTTCTTTTTATTATTTTTATTTTCTTTCTTCTTCTTCTCTTTACAATTATTATCTTTTGTGTAGAGCTAATTACATTTTTTTCTTAAAACTGAAATAAGTGATATCTTATTCTTCCTCCAATTTCTATTCTTCATTTTCATTCTTATTAGGATTTTCTGATTATGATCTTGGTTGTTATTTTGTATCTTATTTAACCTATACTTATTCTTCTTATTTTTATTATTGTTATTAGGTTTCTCGTTATAAAATTTCTAAATAATCTACCTTATCAACCTTCTATTTAAAGATATTAAGTCTATGATTGATTGTCTCTAATGTAGGTAAAGTCTACCCACCTTGACTATTTCTTATAACATCTTTTCCTAACAATTTCCAACCATGTACAAATTACTGTTACTCTGCTTTAGAAATTAAAGTTTGTCTAAACTATATTAAATTATTATACTTATGTTTATTTTATTCTGTTTTTTCAGCATTTCCTTCATCCTTCTCTTCTTATTCAAATTTTATAGCTTCTTATAACCCTGGATTTTCAGTAAAAAATTATGCCATTTATTCTTTTAAATGGAAAATAGTGTTTGTGTCTGTCTCTGCTTCTTCCTCTTCTATACTGGAATTAAATGAATTATCACTATTCATTGAATCATCAGAAGAGAAAACTATTGCTTCTTTCTATATTTGAATTTAAGATGCTCTTTTCATAAAATATATTTAATTATAATTTATTATATTAGAATCAAAATAAAACTTATTTACGTTCACAAGAAAGTTTTATTCGATTCATCTTTAGAATTTCTTTATTTAGGAATTGCACTTTTTATAATTGTTTGATTCTTTTCACGAATTTTTCTTAATCATTTTATAAAATCTAAGATTGAATTTAATTACTTGTTTTATACAAATTATCTATATTAATTTCTAAAATTGAATTAAGGGAAGAATCATTTGTCATACTCACTTTACGAGATGTTAATTATTTTTTAAAGTTTTTTAAATAATGTTTAGATTATTTAACACTTTTAGATACTAGTAGTGTTTTTTAATTGATCTCATTTATTTTCACATTATCTTATGGTTTTACATATAAATATGCATAAAATTTAACATCTTTATTTAATGGATCATTCAATATATATTTATCTTTTTCATACTCTTTAAATAATGTATTTTTCATTTACATCCTTCTTTTTGCTTTATCCAAAATTGACTATTACTCTTACTCTCTTTCATTAATAAAACCTCTTAATTTCTCTTCTATAACATCTCTTACCTTCTATTTTATAAATAAATCTTAATCTTTACTATCTTTCTACTTCTTTTATTTTTCATCAAATCTCTTTACTCTCAAATATCTATTTGTAAAATAATTTACATTTTCATATTCTCGTTATCCATCTGTTCTTTCTGTAATTAGATTCTTCTATTTAAATTTACTTTTATTTTATTCACTAACCTCATAAAGTTATCTAAAAAGTTATACATCTTTAAGATTAGTATCTTCTGTTTGTTTTGTTTCTTAATTTTTTTAAATTAATTTCTTTATTTTATCAAATCTTTATAACACTTTGACTTTTTTTTCAATCTCCTAATCAGTCAAACCTTATTGATGTAAAGATCTATATTTGTTTGTTATTTATAATTAATTAGCAAACATATTAGCTCGTTTTACTAATTTAATTTTATTTTTAAGTTTCGTTTCCTTTCTATTTAAATGATTACATTCATTTACTAAATTTAAAGCAGATAACTCTCCATTCAAATATTAACTAAATCCTAATTTAAGTTTTTCATTGAATTAAAAAGGATTAGGCTAATTCAATGGAGACTAATAGAAAATTGGATCATGAGTATTTTTTTATTATTTGTTACCCTAATTTTTTTATCTTAGAGTGCTTTATAAATTACCAAACATTTAATCCCATAATAATATATTTTATCCATTAACTTCTACAATAGATTATTGAGTACTGAAGAATGTTGTATGACTTTTAGAATTCACAGTCAACATTTTAATATAAACTGTGCAAATTAATTTGATAAGTATAATTAAATATTGATATATATCATAATCTTTAAATTTTTTACAATATTCTGAATGTTTCCTTTTCATAAATATTTGCAGCTGATACACATACTATCAAATTTGTCAAAGAACTGTTACGAAAAGCATTTTTTAATACTTTACTAACTAAATTTCCATTGCATAATAATAATCTTTAAGTTTCATTTTTAGTGTTTAAAATACATTCAATCTAACTCAATGCTGTATTATTGAATGATACTTAAAAATAAGATTATTTATACTTTCTTTTAAAATTTGAGGTGTACAATTTAATGCTTTTTGAGAACCCACTAAATCAACAAATTGAATGGCATAATTTCCAAAATCCAATTTTACTACTAATGGATATGTTGTTGAAAGGTTATTCATTCTACCATTTTATTAAGTTCTATTCTGATAACCTTAATTGATAATTTATATATATTAATCTGTATTCTATATAGTTACTTTTTTTAAGTTCTAGCAATTAAAACTCTCATTTGATTCAATCAATTTCACTTACTATTAATTAAACAAATCAATGATTTAATTCCCTCTTATTTCAATCATACAAATTGAAACATCTTTTTCTTTTTGATTATTAATGTAAAGCTCACCAATTTTTTAAATAATCCCATTCTCCCTAAACATAGCAGTAGTTTTCCCAGACTAAAATTAATAAATAATTTATACGGAACATTCACCATAAGTAATAAACCATTAATCTTGTTCTTTAACTTCATTATTTAATTCTAATTATTAATCTTTCACAATTTAACTAAATTTAAAATCCTAATTCATCATTTTAATTCCATCTTCATTCATCTCTAATGAATCAATAGCTCCTCTTTAAATATCACTTTCTTTCAAACCAATTACTCTACAATAAACTTTTAAATTATTTTATTTCATTTAATAACCATTTCAATTCATAATTGACTTTTATATTAATTATACTTATTTAGAGAATGATCCATAAAAAATCAAATTTCATATCATTTTATTTAAAATATGCATCACTTTATTCTTTTAAGTCTTAAAATCCTTTTTCATCAAGTCCATTCACTAAGAGATCTTGGAGTATCAAAATCATAATTAATATTTTCTCAAGATATTCTATTGTTTTCTGATTAATTAAATTTAAAATATTATTGCTTTCAAAATATATTTATTATTCAATTCTTCAGGGAGAATATCCTTACAAGATTCTCAAAATAGTTGAGTTCAACCTGTCCTATCATACTTTGAATATCTTAATATTTATTTTATTGTAACAATTATGATGAACATATTTCCATCAATTAATCAAATTTAGTTTACAAAAATTGCATATGTAATTGAATGCATTAACCTTCGAGGTAAAGAAATCTATTTTTTAGTTTAATTCTCAAATTCTATAATTAATTAAATTTGTCTATTAACTTTGCAAGAATCCTTATACTATTATATAGTATGAAAAATAAAGTTCAAAAATTTAAGGAGAAACATATAATAGGGATTATTTAATTAATAATTTTTAATTTGTATCTGAGTTAAGAATAAACTTTGCAATAAAAAATCTGCTGTTTAGCTTAATTTTTTTGGAGTACAATTAGATATTTTGTATTAAATTTTTGATAGACATTTCAGAATTTTTGAAACTTTCACTATTTTAAATTACTAGATTAATATGATTTAAAATCTTCATTATAATATAGTTTCCCTTCAGTTTATCAAACAAAAATACCTAATATTTTTTTATTTTCTAATTTTTTTTTAAAGTTAAATCACTTTAAGATTAATGTGTTTTATTATTGAAATATGGATGAAATGATAAATATAAATAAAATGAATTTAATGATTATTAAGTATTTAGCTTTTTGTAAAATAACAATATTAATCTAATTGGATAATTTGTTTAAAAAATAAAAGTATTTAAATGTTATATAAATAAAAGAATAAAAACAATAATAATTTTAATATGAATAATCCCAATTAGATTCTTAACGGATATCCATTTGATACACCATTTAGAATATAAGATAATAAAGTTGGTGTGGTTGAGATCATACTCTATTCAATAGGCAAAAATCCAATAGTATAAAGAAGAGCGAAAGATGAGAATAGAATGTTTATTGAGGGGGCATTTATTAACCGTAATATCTACTAATATTGATAAATGACATAAAGACATGGATAAAAAAATGAGTTATATTTTTTTTGAAAGTATTACTGATCGAAATGATTATAATATTTCTTGAAAATATTGATACAAATTAGATTCAATTATAAATATATTCTTCTTCTTCTTGTTAGATAGTATTATTTTTTTTAATACATTATCTATAGACAGTGAAACCAATGGCAAATAGTATTGCCCAACCCCATGCAAACAATACATATTGCCATTCAAATCCATAAAAGACTCCTTGTAAATATAAATATGATAAAACCTGGTTGTTGATATAAGTTTTTTTCAGAATCGCATGAATCTTCACAAGTATTACAACCGCAAGGCTTTTTGATTTCGAAATTGTAAGGATCATAGGTTTTGCCATCAGCTGCTTATTAAAAAGTTTGATTGCAATTATCCATATCAGGCATAATCAAAGAGTTTGACTCTGAAAATTCAATGGCAATTAATTGAAGAGATGATGATCTAAAGAAAGTAATATGATATATACACTCCTTATTCAGCTTAAAAAGTAAAGAATCCACCAGGGGTTTACATGGCACTGACTTAGGAAGCAAAGTTTGTTCTTTTACAAGATGAGTATACATCCTAATAATAATAATAATAAGTATAATATACACATGCTACTTATGGATGTATACGTAAGGTTACAGTTTACACATCAATAGTTCTGTTGGGATTTCTCGGATCAGTTACATTGGCTCTACCAGTGATTTTCAGAAATTCTCCTTATCTTGGATCACATGAATAAACACACCAAAATCTCTTCATGTTTGCAGCACAACTATTAATAATTGATATGTTTATTACATATCACATCCATCCCCATCACTTCCAAAAGTGGCATCAAGAGAAATAAAATCATTTCCAACACCGTCATCTTATGATTCTGTACAACAAACAGGAGTATTCTAATAGAAACTACATGCACTCATTTTTTAATTAATCCAGGGTTCTTTATCTGTTGGTATTGGTTTCTTATTATCATCAAGAGTATATGCACATGGTATTCCATATGTGATATGTATTAATGTAATAATCCATAACATATTAATTTTTATATATTTATAGTTTATTTAATAGATTATATTAATATATTATCGTAAGAGTTATTTATGGAATAGAAAGATTAATTTTAAATAAATAGAATGTATATATCTTTATCAAAACTAAAAATAAATTAATAATTAAGTATAATATAATATTATTTCTAAGAAGTTTACAGAGTCTATTCAAGTGATGGGAAGAGGAACTATGTATAATCTTTTTAAATAATGAGAGTTTACATGATGGATATTTATATTACATAAATGAAATATTGATTTGAGATTAAGGTAAAGGAGACTCTTAAAAATATGACAGAAATTTTAAAAATAATTTTAGTGATTTACCTCATTAATAAAATAAATTGAAAAGTTAACTGTTAATTAAATTTAATGTAAAACAATTCACCAATAAAAGGTCGACGTATATCAAACCAGATAAAGTTGACAGGGAAGGTTCTAAAAAAGAAAACAGCATCAGAGATTGAGATCGTAGGCCCTTCTGGAAGAGATATGGATACTAGTGTGGTTGCGAAAATTTAAATAAATTAGTACGAGAACTTGAAATCTCATATGCAACAGTGTTAAAGTGAACTTAAAGTAGGAAAGAGTACAGAGAAGATAAAAAAAAAAAAATCATTAGATCGTACTGCTGCTATTAAGAAGAGTCAGCAATTGTATAAGAAAAAGAAGAAATCTACAAAAATTAAAAAGAGTGTTAGTGCAGAAAGAGTAAAGAGCCAAACTATAGAATTTTCATCTCCAGAATGTGTACGTCGTAAAAAGGCAGCCACATTTTTTAATGAAAAACCAAATAGTTTACAAGATCATCGTGAACGTCTTGGACTTACTTTTTTAAATAAAATAGGGACTAAAAGAATTGATTAAATATTAGAGCGTATTAAAGTAATTCTATAGGGTTAGGTAATAGAATGTCATCAATAGAACATTCACATCATCCTCCACTTACACCTGAGAAACATCGTTATCCTTATGAAATAAAACATTACATGAAAGAGAAAAAGAAATTCTATTCATAATTAGAATCAATTAAATAGTAATCAATGTAAGAGAAAAGAAAACATATAGATGAGAATCTACGTTCTTTAGCTGAAATTGCTAAAAGGAACTCACTTTCTAATAGTAGATCTCCACCAAGAGATAGTACAAATAAAATTAGTGCAAAACCACTTATGTTAAGTTATGTAGCTAATCGTAAAAGTACATCACGTAAATCAGGAGTACCAAAATCTTTAAAGGAATAATTTAAATAATTGGAAGCTAGATATAAAACTTTAAAGAGTAATAGTGATGTTATATCATTGAGAGAATCTAGAAATTATGAACATGAAATGAAAGACTAAGCAGCTAAATGTATTTAGAGATGGTATAAAGGATATAAAACAAGAAGACTTTGGGAAAAAAAGAAATAAAAAAAATTATTTAAAAAATAATAATTATAATAATTAAAAGATACAGAAATTAAAAGATGGGATAATTTGAAAATATTTCTTTAAAATCTATAAGTTAAATAAGATATTATTGTAATAGCAGATTTAATTGAAAGTTTAATTAAATATGCTGATTTTAATAAAGAAAATATACTATAAAATAATGTTGAATAACCTTAAATAAAATTGAAACCATAAAAATTGATCATTGATAAAACAGAAGTATTTCCTCCATAAATTGGTTAAATACTTTAACTAAGAGGAGAATTAATAAAAGAAAGAGAAAAAAAAGAAAAATAAATTTTAAAAGATCTATTAGTGTAGGAGAGAATATCACCACGTTCTTTTGGATTAAAAGAATAAGAAATAGTAAAATGGGGTGAAAAAGAATTAGAAGCTTTACATAATAGTAAATAAGTGATAAAAGATGGATGGTTTAAAGCATATGAAACAATTTAAAAGACTCAAAAAGATTTACGTTTTGTGTAAAAATTAGGTGATGATCATTTTAATAAAATGATGCCATTAAGTGTTAGTCAAAGTAATCTATTAAAGAATCAACTTAATGATTTGAAAATTAATGTATAAATATTGAATGATTAATAATAGTTATTAAGGGCTAGTTATTCTGAAGAGAATCTTTTAGATTAAAAAAAGAAGCCACTTCAAAATTCAGAATAATTAGATATTTAAGAGTAGCAATTAGTATCATATAATTCGAATCAATCAAATAAGACTTTGTCATCATATATCTAAGGTTTAGAAGTAATATATTACCTAAGTAAGGGATGTTCCATTAGATGTGGAAGAATAGGGATAAATTTAGAATTTACAATATGTTTAGACTCATGTTGGTTATGTGAAACAATATCTCGAGGATATCAAAATTATAGTTAAAAATCAATATAAGAATCAATTCTTATAGATTATTAATTTATGTATAGGACCATCTCCTTTTGAAATCCTAAGATTTTTTAGATTAACTGAAGAAATGTTAGAGTAATCGTTAGATGGTGGATTTGTTCATTAAGCAGTCTTAAACTTGGAAATATTTTCAATTAAAGAAAAAGTTGGGACTGAGGAACTTTGTGTTAATGAAATGGAAAGAATACATAATAAAGCTATTTTTGATGCCTTTAATGAAGCACTTGATTATCATCGTCCATTTGGAATTAAAGGAAGACCATTACCATGGAGAAAGAATGTTATTTGTAGGCAAGTTAACTCTGTAGAAGAAACACTTGAGAAATCTGCATTTAGAGTTGTATAGTGGGCTGAAACTTTAAGTGGGATTCTATTACCATAAGGTACTTAAGTAGATAATGATATTTTGCCATAAGTTAGAGAAGAAAGATTAGATAAGATGTTAAAGTAGGAAGTAAATTAGATATTCAATATCCATAGATATTCGAAACAGATGATAGATGGTAAGAATTTGATGAAGAACATACTGAAGTAGCATTGGAGTTGAGTGAATTAATTTTTAATCATCTCATTACTGAAGTTATTACTGAATTAAGAAATTGATTAATTTATTTTATATTTTAACTTTATCTCATTTTAATTTTATAATTTTTATATAAATAATAAATTAATTAAAATTATATTCATCAAAATGCATTATTACTATTTTTATTATTCTCACTAATCATAAATAATTTGGGAGTTATAAAAGTGCCCTAACTAACTGGAAGTTTCAAATTCTTACGTACTGAATCTTATTTTAATATTGTTCTTTAATGAGGTTTTAAACTAGTTAATCTCATGTTTCTGATACTTTCATCAACCAAAAGAGTTGTTGAATGTTCTTTTTTTAGTATTCTTTTAATTCCTGAAGTTTTTTCACTTTTTAATCTAACAAATTCAGTTCTTTATTCTAAAATTTTAGATTCTGATCTATATTCTTATGGTCTTAAAGTGCATTCTGATTTCATTTCAGGTTTTTCAATTCTTTTTTATGATTATTATGATTATGATTATTACTATTATTACTATTACTATTATTATTATTATATTTTCTTTATATCTAATAATATAAAATAAATAATTACTTGCTCCTGTAGATTCTTAATATAATAAACCAGCATATTCTATAAATTTATCATAATCTTCTTCATATTGTTCTAGAGGGTAGACTTTCTCAAAATTTCCAATATTTAAATTTTCATATTAATCTCTCACTTCTTAGCATTATTTGATAAGTTTTTACTTTTCATCTAAAGTTAATTTGATAGGTTTAGTTGTCAACATTCTTTATTAAAGCATTTGTTTTTCTTAATTAATAATTTCTTATTTAGCTTTTTGAGTACAATTCATCAAGATTAAAGATTATGAAATTAATTATCTTTTAATGGCTGCATCTAAAGGAGTATCAGTAGTAAAACTTGGAGAATGGTTAACTTCTAATAAATATGGTTTAAGTTTATGATCTAAGATAACATCCATTCCTAAAACTTCAAAGCACATATTATTCATATGATTATTAGGTTAACAAGATTTATATTAATGAGCTAATATAGGTTAAACAGCACAGAATGTTTTAATCATCATTTTTTTAATAGTATTCCATAATAAATCAACATTTTCTCCTCTACTTTTGAGTAATTCAAAAACACTTGTCATACTTCTCTTATGTCCAACATCCATTTATTTATCACTTTAATTAAATACAAAATTTTCATTATCTTTATTAACAGCATAATTAGTTAAATGCATACAAATATTATCTAAATTATCTTTACCTGGTTTTTTGTATAACTCTGTAGCAAATCTAGCTAGACCTTCTTTAAAGATATATATTCTTAAAGGATCACAACCTGCTAATAATACATATATTCTAAGATCGAATTTTAAACCGTCAATTAAATAAGGTTTACTTAAATATCTTTAAGCAACATAATGTTCATGAATTGAAAGTCCTTCAGCATCTTTAACTATCATTATTCCCTTCCCTTAACAAGATGCTTCTGGTTTTATGATAAATGTTCGATTCTTTCCAATGTTGGCTCTAAAATCACTTAATTCTGCTGGTAATAACCAAGTATATGGAAAGTAATTATATGCTTAAGGAAACTATTTATGCATTTTCATAAGGTTCCTTCCCAAATGATTTTTACGAGCTAAACTATACATTCCAGGAAAATGATTAACCTTTTGATAACCTAATTAATTTGACTAATCAAATACCATTCATTCTACCCAAAAGATCTGAAAAGACTGCTCCATCAGTCCACCATACATCCCAATTTGTAGCATTCTCATCTTTCTAAATTTTCCAATTCAACATTTTCTTACCTACATATCGTATCACTGGGTATTAAGAACCTATATGGAGATATAAACATCATTTGTACTCGAAACATTTATTACTAACTGTTCTCTACTTTTCTTCACTTTACTTTTTGGTTTTATCGTCTCTTTTTATGTTTAACTATCATCTTATTACATAGTATATATATATAAATAATATTCATAGCAATTATTAATAAGTAGAAACTAGTAGTCTGTTTTTAAAACTCTGATATATTCTTTTCCCTAATTCTTAATGTAATCCTAAATTTAATAAACTTATTGCGCTAGGAATACATTACTATATATCCTTTAGAGAATATTTTATTGTAACATTCTTACAATTTTTCATACTCTCAAAATATAAATGAAACTTTCTTCGTTTCTCTTAATAAAAAATAGAAACATATATCTGTGTTGGTCTCATTGTAAATATCATTCTCTTCAATAAAACATATTAATATTGCTAATATTATAATTTAAGAATTATACTTTAAATGCAGCATATTATTTATAATTAGCATTAACCTTTATTAATTATGGACATTTATCATCTCCCATAACATCTTAAATAATGAATGTACTTGGATTCAATTTCAATTGCTTTTTCAATTTGTTCAACATGTACACTGAACATTTCTAAATATCTGATTGTATGAATTCATATTAATCTGCAAAACAATCTTTCAGCTTCAGATTCTATAGATTTCTTCTTTCATCATTATAATAACTATATAAGACTTTACGTAACATTAATTTAAAGTTAACAATCTTTAATTCTTCAAATAATGTGATTCTTTGATAGAGTTAAAAGTTTTAGCTCTCATTCAATCTAATTGGAACACAACCTTTGAACATGTCCAATGGTTTTCGACCATTTTCAACAAATACTTCAAATAAGGCATTAACTTCATTACCCAAATACACTACTTGAGTATAGAGATTTTCTCTCAAAACTCCTTAAAATGAATCAAGATTAAAAATGAAATGATTTTAAGAATTCTTAGTAATTGTTATTTTATTCATTAGAGTTTCCCATATCTTTATTTCAAAAGTTGATATCATATCCAGATTGTTTTTTCTTACAAGTATTTAATTAAAAAATAAATCTTTATCACTTTAATAGTAATTTTCCATGCTTCCTTAATTTGAAATTCGTGGACTATGTTTAAAAAATAGACTTTTATCTGTACGAGCAATATTTTACTAAGTAGGCAATAATAATCGATTAGGATTTAAATTACCTAAAGAATTTTAAACACTATATTATTTAGCAATCTATTTTTTCAAAAAAATCGGTGGTTATGTAGAAGATCTTACATTCTATCTACTTTAATCACTAAATGATTCAAGTAATTTAGGGGTTTCATCATTTGGCCTTTCAAGTAATTCATCTTCATTATTAATAGATACTTTGCTCTCTGTTAATTTTTATAATTCCAATTATGGAATTGCTCTTGCTTAACTTCTCATTTCACTATAAAAATCTTCAAATTCTTCTGGATGATTTACAGCCATCTAATATATCTTACTTATTTCAGAAAATTTCCATCTATTAATATAAAACTAATCTATGGTTTCTTTTGTAACCAAACATGATGGAAAAATAGATTCTAAAAACTCAGGACTCATTTATTGAAAGTCACTCTATTAGATATAACAACTAAAATTTCTACAAGTTTATGGAATATACAATCCTATTTAAAATTTATTTATTGACAGATATGAGACAGTAATTATTACATACATGGAATTTACTACTTTTGTGGTTTTATATATAAACTTTTATCCTCTAAATACTGCTGTTAACATAGAAGTATTCTTTAAAATTCTACTGGCCTCTTCAGGTAATTATAAATTATCTATTTAGACATCCATGATTTGAGTTTAAGATTTCTTTCGAAATCCATTATCATTTAATAAAATAGATAATTTGGGTTGGGATATTCTAACACTTTATTGTTCTTCTAATATGTTACTTCCATATGTAACTTCAGTAAATGTATTATGAAGATCATATTTTGATTGATTAATGATATACGATAATGGTATTTTAACTCCATGATAAGTGTTGGTTCTGTAACAAACTAAATAGGCAGTTAAAATTTTGAGAATATCATGTAAAATCTTATCATTAAAACAATTATTGAATGCAACTTTTGGACAGATGCTTTAGATATCTGCAAGATCTAAGACTAATTTGAATATTTTGGTTCTACTTTCTTATGGAGTTATTTAAAAATAAAAGTAGGTATGTTCTCCATTTTCTTGATCGAAATAAAATTTATTGAATTAGTACACTTCACATTCAACAAAGACTTTACCAATATTACTGACTCTACTCTGGGCATTAAAAGTTTTCCTAAGGAAATAAGTATTCATAAAATATCTCAAACGACTTGATGAAATTAAAGTTAATTTCAATTGCTATTTAAAATAATAAAAAAGAATAGTTTGTTTCAATAGTCTTTGATTTTCATTGCTTATAAATTACAACGGATCAGAAATGTACATTAATAAAAACTGATCTAAAGCACTATATTTATCTCTATTTCTCTCTTCTAAAGTAATCTATTATCTTTTGAATTGTAATGCTTTACCTATTAATCTACGTTAAATTTTCGATTGTGATCTAATTTGATGACCTATTAACTAAGTTTTATTGAAGATATGTAATATTTTCTCAAGATCTTGTAATTAATTTATTGTTCTATAGTATGTTAATCTTTAGTTAGGATAATATAATCTAATTTTAATTTGTAATTTTTTTTATCCTATGAGTTCATGCATATTCTTTTTCAAAACTATCAAATCTTATTTGGCCTACTGATCACTTAAATATAATAATTTAGTGTCAAAGATTTTTGTTTCTTTGAAACACACTTCAACCCTAAAATAGTAGTTTTTATCTTTAAAATAGAATTTATTTTTCATAATATTGAATTTACTTCTATAGTTTTTAAATGATTTTTCTTCTAATACACTTTCATCGTAACTGTCATGTTTAGAGTCTGCTAAAATAGATTATTAAAAACATTCATCATTATCTATTTAAGATCCTTTTTAATCAAGGGCTAATGAGGCCATTCTTTCTGAATAAATTAAGCTATTAATATTAGTCAAAGGTAATAATTGATCAGCTTATAATTGTTCATAAACTTCGTTTCTTATTTAAATATCATAATGATTAATCCTTTTAACATATCTATCTAACAAAATCAGTGTATGTCTAAAATTGTATGAGAGTAATTCTTCTATAAATGATAATTTAAGTATTTTATCTTCTTACATTAAAATATTAATAATTTCTAATTTTTTTTTTGTATCTGGTAATCTCATTCCAAAATCAATATTAATTTATTTTTTTACAGAATTTCCATCTTAATTATTAATAACTAAATAGCTTTTAGAATCCTGTAATAGAATAAATGAGGTAAATAGAGTATTATTTTCCTTTAAAATTAGATTAAGTGCAACATAGTTATCTGGATATTCATTAATGAATTATTCAGATTCTGGTTATATAACAATGCCTTATGGTGGGAAATAAGGTTCCAAGTTCATTTGTGTATTAAATTTAATTATAGGACCTTCTTTTGGTTAATAATCTTGATAATCATCTAAATTAGCTAATTAGAATTCTGGGAAATATTCTCGGACTAATAAAATTTCTGAATGAGATCTATCTTTATATTCTTACAATTCTTCTAAACTTTTTTTAGATTATGGTGGTTCATAAGCTTCTTTATGTTTTTTAGCAAATTCAGAGAATTGACTACCAATTTTAGGAATAAGACTATTTCTAATAATTGCTTATGATGAAACAATAGGTTCAAATCTTGGACTTATCATTGTATTTCTGTTATGAATAGCTGTATATTATTTTTTAGGTTTTCTTTAAGGTGGTTAATTAACTTATTCTCTTTCAGAACTATTATCAAATGATTTGAGATTAATAGAAGGGCATTTTTTATGAGATTGTATAGCATTTTAATGAGAATATTCAGATTTATTATCATCAGATTCTTGAATTTCAATGCTTTATTCATGAATAAATTCTTCAGTATAAATTTAATTTCTTCTCTATGTAGATAAAGTTATAGTTGCTTATTCTTAATGTGGATATTAATGTTATATTAATTTGATGGGTTCATTTTTAAATTGTTTTAATACCATAATTCTTTTTCTTTCTTTTTAGATCTTCTTATTTCTGTAACATTTAGTATTATCAATAATTTAATCAAGTAATTTTTTATTGATAGCATCTTTCATTGAAACTAATTTATAACCAACAATTGATCTTATCAAATAATAATGATTTTTAAGTGCATATATTAATTTACCTATAAGTTATTAAGCAAATTCAGCTTTTAAGAATACTATAGTATTGCATTTGTTTGGCTCATATAGATTTTACTATTTACAATATATACTTAAAAGACCATTGAAATTTTCTAAACGATCTTTACAAAACCATCTTTAATATTCATCAAGATAACTAATAAAATTATTAATTTTAAAATTGAGATTGTATTATTAATTGTCATTTTATAGAGAGAAGAAGACAATGAGTTACAATGCAATAATGGCTTTTTAATCAGTGAAAATGTTCATTATATGTTAAAGTTAATGTTCTTAATTAATTAAAGATATAAAGTACTTATGGGAGATGGAGTGTTGAAAACATAATTTTATTCATCTTCTTCTGTTTAACTATTTGTCTATGAAACATCACTAAAAGCACAAATGGAGATATTTGATAATTTCCATATTTTGATCTGATCATCAAAGAATAATTTACCCAAGAAATATAATTCTTATTCTGGAAGATTATAGAAATCATTAATAATTGAAACTAACTAAAATAAATATAATTAATAAATATTACAGTTTTAGCTTTGTTTGTACTAATTTATTCAGCTTCATTGTTTTTTATTTCTCGAACAATCTGATCAAATCTACCTCCTTTACGAATAGAATTTTTAAGTTCTTTAACTGAAACTTTCATAGTACTAGTAATTCTGGTGTTAGTTTAAGTAGTATCTATTTTATCAGTACAAATAGTTTAAGTCTATGGTTTTGAAATAGATAAAGGAGTATATTCAATATTATGAATGGTAGTAACTTTTTTAATATTACATTTATATTTTCTAAAATATTACTAAATAATATTTGCTGCTACATTGAGTTATTCAATAGTATATTTATTTAATAATTCATTATAGAGAGTATCACTTTATTCTGTATTTTCAGTTTAAACATGTGATAAATGAGGAATCATAGTTTATTATTGAGGAGATTATTATTATTATGCCAATACTGATTCAGTAGTAGGTACTCTAATCTCATCTAATTGTTATTATTGCATATTCAAATCTTAAACTGTTTACATTTTGGTTAATTTTTATTCACTTTATTGAGTATCAGATTTATTATGCATCATTTGTGTACCTTATTTATTCAACATTCTAGGTATAAGTCTGTTAGATTTAATTTTTTTTTTATTTGCAATAATTTATTCAGTAGTTTCTCCTTATTTACTGGTTTTCTTTCTTAATTAGATATGTTCTGATTTAAATTAAGGTCTGGCTAACATCATTTCATCTATGGGTTCTGTTTTAAGTTATGTTTCTTATAATTAAATTCTAAATTAAATATATATTATAGATACTTCAATTTATCCATATAATTATCCATTAATTAACTATTTCTCTATGAATGCATTGCCAAAGATAATCTTGGAGAGAATAATTTATCTTAAGAAAGAAGTGATTAATTCATATAAGTGGATGCTCCTCTTGATGAGGATTTCTAATGTTAGTGTTTGATTTAAAACACTTTTTCTTATTATTATTAATAATCTTCTATTTGTTATTGATTTGAAATGGTCTTTAACTTTTCTTCATATTCATATCTAACTTTCTTTACATATTCTGGCATCTAATATTTGGTAGAATGAGATGACAATTATCTTACTATTGATTAGTATGATTTAACTTGTTTCTACATGTGATGCTATCAATATTAAATCTATTAATTGTACATCAAAATTCTTATTAGGTTTTAATGGAGCTACTTTCCGTAACAATTCTTATCCAACATCTTTTTATAGATCTGCTTTAAATTATTAAAAATCCACTTTCTCTTAACCCATAATCATCTCAAATTCCATCTTCTAACTTAATTTTTCATATTTGTCTCTTGCTTTCATAGTAGTAGGTGCATCTGATCCAAATATTAATTCCTAAATTTACCATGCCTTATATAAATTTCGTAATGATTCTCTCTCAAATCCTACTTTAAATTATGATTTCCCTATATAATAAAATGCTCTTGCTAACATCATAAACCATTTCCTATATTCTTAATGAAACTCCTCTTTTGTTAATGTCCTTAAAGAATCAAATGTGATTCCCAATCTTTACAATATGTCCACCAATTTATTACATTAATCTAACATATCATCTTTACGATGCATCATTCTACATACTTCACTTCCATGAAATAGTAGTTATGCATATAATTTTAATATTTACTTATCCTCCTCACTTATATTCACTCTTTTTGAGTAAGCAAATTTATCCATAAATGGTAATACATCTCTTAAATTCATCCAAGCTTTCTAATATTATCCTTATTACTCATACAATTATGAAATCTACAATATTGCGTGACCCCTAGATTTCACAAAAGTATTTGTATAAAATATTCCACTTGTAATTGATATCGGAGTAGTTATCTATATATTCCTAAACTATTCTATACCTCTTTTGCTCTATTAAAAAACATTTCTGCTTAAGTATTATTTCCCTATTTCAAAAGAATTCTTCCATCCTTTATCAATGTATTTGCAAAATCTACTGCTGCATTCACTACAAGTGGAGACTCCCATCCATTCTAAGACAACGTCTACATATAAAACCTTTCCAATCTCTACAAATTTAATAGTTATCCCTATTACATATATATATATTTATATTAGTCATTATCATAAGAAATTTCATAATTATATATTAACTCAATTTTATTATTATCAACAACAATACTTTTATTCTTACTAATTGTATCCCTCACTCCATCCTTTCTTTTATTTACATCTAATTTATTTATTATTTATTACTTCCTCTCCTAAAATTTATATATATCTTTTATTAAATTTCATTCAATTCATTCAAATTTTATTTTATTTTTTTTATCAACCTAAAATTAATTATTAAAAGCCCCAATTAGACATAAAAATTATAAATTTCTTATTATTTATCAATACTTTAAAATAAATCATTTAATAAAATATCACATTATAATTTCTTTACTTCCATTCTAAATAATTTACCTTACATTATGAATTTCTATTTTATTAATTTAATTAATTTCTTTTTTTTTCCCTCATAATGATAACCTTTTGATATTATTTCTTTTCTCCTTAAATCTCTCTCATAAAATTTGAAGATTAAAAATAATTCCTCCTTATAGTATAAATTCGAACACATATGATTTAAAAGTTCTTGTATAAATAAATTTTTATTTTGAACAGATATTATAAAAGTATGAAAGTATGAGACTGTGTATAATATTCTAAGAAATGGTTAAATTTGAATATTAAATTTTAAGAAATAATGATTTAAAAATAATAGAACATAATAAACATTTCCTTTTTTTAAACAATAAATTATTTTTTCATATGTCACTACAAATCTATTCTTAATTGACTAATCTTCTTAATTTCATTTGATGATAATTCAGAGATTGCACTACTACTTAGAAATTCTTCCATCTCCTTAAATGATTCCAAAAGTAAGGTGCTACAGATTAATTGTAATCTGGTGAATGCTTACTTATTATTTGGGTTAGTCATCCTATAAATAAATAATAAATTTTAACATTATTAAATAATTGATACTTGTTCTGACTTCCTTCTCTAGGATTACAGCTCCTGTTTGATGGAATTTCTTATTCATTATAATTTATTCTAATTATTTTGAAATACAATGACATAAATGTAATGTCATTTAATCATAATTTTCTTACGTAAATTAAGTCTTCCATTAATTTAAACCTTTAAAAGCATTTTTCATTTAATTTGAGAAATACTTTTAATACTCTCTTTCTTACTCTAACATTACAACATCTTTCTAATCAAAATGTAGTTATTTAATTTCTTCAAATACTTCTTTAACTGTATTTCTCAAATTTTCTGCCAATACTTTTAATTTCTCTTCCATTAATTTCTAAAACTTTTTTGTATTAACTTCAATCATTTCCTCTACAGCACCAACTATCATTTAAGATTATGGACCTTTAGGTAATTCACTATAGATTTAAGATTTAAGTGTTTTTAAATACATAGGAATATTGCTTAAAATATTGAACAATAGAATTATGAATGAATTATTTACTGTCTACTCTTATGCTATACCTATGGCTGATGATGAAAAGTATTCTTTCTTTAAATATCGATGAAATAATTGTAGTGTAATTTGATGTAAATCATCAGATATAACTTAGAATCCAATAAAATTTATTAAAGCACTTGCAATAATTTAATTTTCAGTTGAAATTGCTCTCTAAATTTATTATTTTATCAAATAGAATATTTCTTCTAACCATTCATGATACCCATGACTTAAAAGTACATTTTAACACTCTAATAATTTTGTAAATTTTGCCTTATCAAAATTCCATAAATCCTTAAGAGGTTCTGATTTCTATACAAAAAAGACAATTTATTATTGAAGTTCAATTTAAGAGAACTCAAGATATTTACCTAAGTATTCTGTAATGATTTCTCCAATGGCTAAATTTGTGATGTCCTTTTCTAATTCTGCTGTTTATTTAAGATGCTATAGAAATCCCTAATATTCACTAGATATAGCAGAAATCTCATCACAATAGTAAGAAACCTTCTCTAATTATTTCTAATCCAAATTAATCTTTTTAGAGATAGACTACAATAATTAATTTTCATAACTCTACACAGCTTTTGCATTCTTAACCATTTTTTCAATTTCGAAAAAAGTATTTAATTGTTTTAAAACACCTAATAGGTAAGGATGTGAAACTTTTGATACAAGATAATCAATCAATTCTAAAACACCTTCTACTCCATAATATTGTTGAACATTCTTAGAGAATTTCTCTGGCTTTATTAATTCTAAAATGCCAACAAAGTAATTCAAAAATGGATAATGATACTTATTATTGATATCTGAAAATGATAAAGGCAAATTTTGTTATTCATTTTATTCTAAGAGTCTAAGATCTTTAAGCAATTCTTCTCCATAAATATTTTTAACTTTATCCAAAGATTATTCTAAATGTAACACTCTTGCCAAACCTGAACATAAATTAATTTTTTCAAGTTCATTATTTTTGACTGCTAATTCAAATTATTATTTTTGAAATGGTATCAATTAATTCATGATAATATTTTCAACGAATTGATAATCTGCTTGACAAAATTCTTTCAATAAATTTGGAAGTATTTCATAATAGACTTGACCAAATTTAATACAAGAAGCAATATCCTATTATTCAATAGCAATTGGTAATTGATTCTTGATTCTACTCAATTCTAGAAAACAATTTAATGTATTAAGTAACAATTCAACATTTTTCTTTTGATTTCTTGCCATACTTGAAATTCTTACTTAAGTGCCTCAAAACTCTTAATTGTAGTGTGAGCATTCTATTGAATTTGATGTACTTGATTATCCATAAGAATGGCATCTTGTCTTAAGTTTGATACTTTAGCAATGCTACCTTTAATGGAATCATGTAGATTATCATTTTCATTTGAATTAAGTAATTTGTTAGCTTCTTAAATGAGTTTTTGTTTTCTCATACTATAAAGAACTTCTTCTTATTCAATAAGTGGATAGATATCTTTTATTTAGTTCATTATATATTATATCTAAAGTATTTATTAATATATTCAAGTATTTTATTATTTCATAATTTAAAATAGGAATGAAACAATTCGGATAAGGTCTAATTTTGATTTATTGGATGACTCTAATATCAAATTGTAATGCAGTATCAAACACTTTAAATGTTTCAAATGCAGTTTGTTCTTGTTCTCAACTATTAATAGAGTAAGAATGTAGATAAAGAAAATGTTTTTGGAATAACAATAAATGCTCAATATTAACAATAAATAATACTAATTATTGTGATTCGTTAAAGATAGAAGAATGCAAAAATATAGAAGGTTGTGCAAATGTATAAGATAAATGTGTTTAATTTTCAGGATGTAATGCTTACTAATATCCAACAAATGAGACTTGTTAAAACATTTCATTTAAATGTACATCAGATGGAGAATAATGTATCGAATTAGATAAGTGTAGTAGTTACATAAGTTAGGTGAGTTGTATAAAAGATGAAGACGGGAAATTTTGTTATTGGAATGCTGAAAAAGGTCTATGTTCATTACCAACAACTTGTGATGTATTGCCAATTACATTGATATCAGATTCCTAATGTAGATCATAAATTAATAGTTGCACAATGAAATATGGTGGTGGATGTGAAACAAGTGGAGATAAATGTGAGAATTAGAAAATAGAAGGAGCATGTGTTACAAATTTAGATTAAAAAAAGTTATGTATTTGGGATTCAAATTAATGCAAAGATAAAATATGTTTAAATGCATCTTCTATTAATAATACTAATGAATTATGTTCAACCTTTTTATCTACATGTACAGTAAATGATACACTTAATGGATGCTAAGATATACAAGTCTCATGTACAGCATATAAAATTCAAAATAATTGTGTTATTAATAGTATTGGATAAAAATGTTATTGGAATAAAAATAATCTAAAATGTGAAGATAAAAATTGTGATAATGCAACTGATGATTATTAAAATCATGATTTATGTTAATAATGGTTAAGTACATGCACAGTCAAATCTGGAGGTATTGGTTGTTAAACTAAATCTAATAATTGTACTTAATATACTACACTCAATTAATGTATTAATATATTAAATGGTGATGAATGTTTTTGGTATGAATCAAAGTGTTTATTAAAATCTTGTGAAAATGCTCCATCATCTAATATCAATGATCATATGTGTTCTACATTTTTATCAACATGCACTGTTTAAATTGACTTAACAGGTTGTGAAAAAAAAAAATCTACTTGCTCTCTTTATAAAAAATAAGATCAATGTGTATCATAATTAAATGGTAAATTATGTATATTTCAAAATGACTTATGTATTGAAAGAATTTGTAGTAATGCTTCTGAAGATTTCACAAATTAATAACTATGTAAAACTTTCTCATCAACTTGTATGGTTAAATCAGATTTCAAAGGATGTATTTTACAAGAATGCTAAAATATTTAAACTAAAGATCATTGTACATCAGATTACTAGAATAAATAATGTTATTATGGATTATAATGTTAATTGAGAACTTGTGCTAATGCTCCTTCTACATATAAAACAGATGCAGAATGTAGATAGTTTTTGAATATATGCACAGTTAACTAAGAACTTTAAGGATGTATTGAGAGACCAGAATCATGTGATTAATTAAATCAATAATAATGTACTATGTTAAGTGATAATGTAACAAAATGCAGTTGGAATGATGGTGAAAATGATAAAGTATGTAGAGTATTAAATTGTTCAGATATTACACCAGCAACATAAACAAATGAAACTTGTAGTAACTATGATTAATCTTGTACAGTTGCTGAGAATCCAAGCACTTGTATGTAAAAACCATTAGGTTGTTCATTAATTGAAAATAAAGAACATTGTTTTAGTGTAGTACTATAAGATATGAAATCAACTTGTAGTTGGGATAGTGATTATTCTTTATGCAGAGATCGTTAGTGTTCCGATGCTGATTAAAACATAAAGACAGATGATGGTTGTAGATAATATTTATCAATTTGCACTCTAAGTTCTACAGGAAATGGATGTGCTAATGAACCTACTACATGTAAAGGGTACTAATCATAAGATGTTTGTATAAAATTAGTTTCTAATCCTAATAACATTGTTTTATGTGGATGGAATGGTTGTGAAAATAGAAGTTGTTTGAATGCACCTATTTTATAGTCTGGATCTTTATACACACACTAATAATGCAATTAATATTTAAGTTCATGCACAATAAATTCTAATTAGACTGGTTGTGTTCCTTAATTCACATCATGTGATTAAATTAATAACTAATTTTAATGTAGTGATACTGTCTTAGAAAATGGATCAAGATGCTATTATGATGTTTCAGCTGATTCTTATTTCTGTAGAGAGTTTAAATGTACTGATTAAACCTAATCTTTAATGACACATGAAATATGTAATAGTTTAAGTAAACAATGTACTCTTGGTGAAAATGGTGTTGGATGTATTGAATTATTTAGTTCATGTGCAGATATTAAAGATCTATAGCAATGTGAAGGAACTGTGTTGAATGTCAATCGTAGTTGTCATTGGGATACTACTAGCACAACTCCGATTTGTAAAGAAAAAGAATGTAAATTAAGTATAATGAAAGATTCAGCAGATTCTTGCGAAAAGTATTTAGAAACTTGTACTTTAGGGGATTAAGATATAGGTTGCATTGATAAACCTAAATCATGTAATGGTTTAAGTCAAAAAATATGTATTAATGTAAAATTAATTGATGGAACTTATTGTTCTTTTGATAGTAATATAGTTGATGAAAATTTATAATGTCATGCTAGAATTTGTGCTGATGCTTCTAGTAATTATTAAAATGATGCCTAATGCAGAACATGGTTACCTAATTGTACAGTCAATTCTAATTAATCTGGATGTGTAAATGAACCTACTGATTGTAGTTTGATGTTATAATCATAATGCATTAAACAATTTTATAAAGGGATAAATTGTCACTGGGATGAAAAAGCTAATCCTGTCAGTTGTAGACGAATTTTATGTACTGATGCAAGTATAAATTATTACACTAGTGATGAATTATGTAAATCATTTAGATCTGATTGTACAGTTGCTAAATCTAATGGATGTATTACATAACCAAATTCTTGTGCTTCTTTAGATTAAAATCATTGTCCTAAAGTAACTATCAATGCAATAAATAAAGATGCTAGTGAAAATAGGTGTAGTTGGAACCTTTCAAAAAAAGCATGTTAAGATAGAGTTTGTATTGATGCACCTCAAGATTTTGATTCTGAAGAAAAATGTAGAAGTTGGCTTAAAACTTGTACACTTGGTATTACTAATTAAGGATGCATTCTTGAATAATCCACTTGCGATTTAGTATAAACTTAAAATTAATGTTAAGTGTTATCTAATGGTACTAAATGTGGATGGAATACAGGTTGTGTTAATAGAACCTGTTCTAATGCTCCTGATAGTTATAATTCTGATGAATAATGTAGAGCTTATCTTTCAACTTGTACTGTTTAAGCAGATGGAACTGGATGTACTATTAGAGCATCAAAATGTACTGATATTTAAGTTGATAAATAATGTATAAAAATTAATGATAGTAAATTATGCTAATGGAATTCAACGAAATAAAAATGTGAAGATAGAACATGTAATAACGCTCCAATCACATTGATAAATCATGATATGTGTATATAATACTTACCTTCTTGCACAGTAAAAGTGAGTGGTATTGGATGCTAAACTTTATTTGATAATTGTTCTGCCTATACAGTAAATATAAATTGTGTATAAACATTAATAAATACTAGTTGTCAATGGATAATGATCTCTGAAATAGGGTAATGTGTAGATATATTTGAAGCTTGTTCATCTTACATAAGTAAAGAGACTTGTACATTTTAAAAGAATAATAAAAAATGCATATGGTGGAATGGGTCATGTTATAACAGAGAATGTGAATATGCACCTAAGTCATATTCAACTCATGAGTAATGTCAAGAATTTGGGGATTGTACAACAAACGGTTAAGGTTGTATACATTATATAGCATGTGATTAATATAAATATGCAGCAAGTTGTGTATAAGGAGATAATGGAAAGTGTACTCTTGTTAATCAATGTTAAAATATAAGTTGTGACTTAGCTCCAGTCAATTATAAAAGTCATTCTGATTGTCAATCATTTCTTTCCACATGTACAACTAATGGAAATGGATGTGTATAAATAAAGAGATGTTAAGATGTGTATGTATAGGAAGGTTGTAAATTTAATGCTAATAATAAAGAATGTGCATGGATGAATGGAATGTGTTATGAAAAGAGTTGTGATACGGCAGATACATCAATTCAATCTGAAAAAGGATGTAATGATTATTATCCTGAAGGAAATTGTACTACTAAAAAAGGAGGAGGATGTATTACAAAAGGAAAGTGTAAAGATGCATAAGTAGAATAAGCTTGTATATCTTAATTAGATGGATAAAAATGTTCATGGTAAAATGAATCATGTTAATTAAGATCATGTACTGATTTATTTGGTTATGATCATTTTACATGTAATAAAGCATAAGCTAATTGTACAACTAATGGATTTCAATGTACTATCATGAAAACATGTTCAAATACATTCATTTAATAAGCCTGTATAATCGGAACAGATGGACCATGTCTATGGAGTTAAGCCAAATGTTATAAATATGCTCAGTGTACAGATTTAGTCTATAATACACATATTTAATGTAATTCAATACATCCATAATGTACAACTAATGGTAATAATTGTGTGGCTATTACAAAATGCTCCAAAACTCCTAAAGTTGCTTGTTTTATAGGTAGTAACAACAATTAAATTGGGAAATGTATTTGGACACCCACATCATTAAAACCTTCGGCACTTCATTAATGCATTGAATTTAATGAATGTTCAAATGCTTTCTATCTTAATCATAATGATTGTTATTTTTATTCTCTTGGTTAATGTACAAGTGATGGTGTTAATGGTTGTATATAGTTGGATAATTGTAAAAATTATCAAGTTTAATAAGCATGTTAAATTGATAAATCTGGAGTTACAATTAACTCAGCTGGAGCTGTAACATAAACAGGTAAATGTATATGGTAATCTAACAAATGTGTTGAGTAAGGTTGTTCTGATATCACTGGTTCTAGTCATACTGAATGTAATAATTAATTAAGTTCATGTACTTATGATGGATATAGTTGTGTAATTTAGGGTACTTGTAGTACTTTTAATACTATTGATTCATGTACCCTTGCTACAGGAACAGATGGTAAATGTTATTGGGATAGTAGAATTTGTAAGTCAATGAAATGTGATGATTATCCTATTACCTTATGCTAACTGTTTTCATCAACCTGTGTTTAGGATGGATCAACATGTGTTTAACTTAAGGATTGTTAATAATATAAAACTCAATCAGCTTGTGAATATGGTAGTTCCAATAGTTTTTGTGTTTGGGTTATTACAACAACTAATAGTAAAGGGAAATGTGTTGAAGTCAATAGTTGTAAAGTTGCTTCAGTAAATGAGAAGGCATGTAAATTGTAATCTGATAGATGTTATTGGTAAACAATCACTGTAGCAAATTCAACGGAATTTATCTGTACTCCTAAAACTTGTGAAATATAAACAGGTTCTACTTGTACAGGTTTTTATGATTGGTCTCTTAAAACTTATAATATTTGCAAATTCAATCCTTAAGGTAAATGTACACCTACTGATCCTATTAGCTTACAATAAAATGATTGTCTAATTAATACTTTATATTAATACACTTGGAATCCTACTACAAATAAATGTACCATTTGTAATTCAGTCTAAACCAACAATACAACTCAATAAAACTAATCAAATACAACTCAAGATAATTAAGATCTCATTTTATCTATTATTATTTTACTTGCCTTAGTTATTTGATAATCCATATTAATATATAAATATATATATATATCATTTATAATATGTTGATACTATAAAAGATGAAGGTTATTTCTAAATAATTAATTACTCTACTATCCATTGGTAAAATGCGACTTTAAGGTAGCATCTATGTTTAAGCAATTGCCTATTGTCTAATCATTTTAAAAATTCTTTTTGATTTTCCTTATTATTATTATTATTATTATAATAATTTCTCATAATTTCGTAGTTATTTTTAAAATCCTGGAATTTGGATTCACCTATCTTCTTTTAGATTTCAATTTTCCATTATGACTTTTCCATATTTAGATTATATCTCTTCATCAAATAAGCTACAACTATTGTCGGTGATCTACTGATTCCTAAAAAACAATGAACCAATATTTGTCTGTTTTCTATGTCTATCAATAAAATCAAATGTTTAATCTGCAAATTACAATATACTATAATCTTCTTTTTCATGTGCTTATATATACAAAATTAAACAACTATATATTAAGCTGCTGTCTCTTAACTTGCTGTTAATACTGCTCTAATTTTTAATCTTTTAAGCATCTCTAAATCTTTTGCTCCCTCAGATCTTCCTACATATATTCCTCCCTCTCTACTGAAAATCCTAACTTTAATTCTTCCAAAGGTACTTTCATTGAAAATATTTTATTTCTCTTATTTATGAGAAAGCTCTTAATTTTGACTTAAATTTTAGTATTTTTTTCTTTTAATATTTTAATTCTCTTATTTAGATATATCAATAGTTTTTACTTCACTAGATTATAAATTCTGTATAATTCAATAAAAATAAATAAGACACTATCTAAGTCTAACTTTTTAAAATATATTATCTATATCAAATAGAAAGCATTGATCAAATTTAGAATCCATGTTTAAATTCCTTACTCATACTAATAGTATACAAGAATGTAAAGAATAAGAAATTTTTTAGTGACTTCAAAGATGTCTCTTTTTAATGCCAAAATTAATGGAAATTTAATCTTTCCCATGCTTACAATCTTAAAGAACTGATAGAAGTTATATATGTGGTAATCAAAATTCAAATAGCTATTGAGATAAAACAATTGATCTAGGAGATCCTAAATCATGAGAAGCATTTAATTCCAATAGATAAATAAATCCTAAGACGTGAAGTATTAATTTAAGAACTGCTTTTTCTTTCTTTCTTTTTCATATCAACTTTTCTTTTAATTATATCAATCTTACTTACTTTGGCCATTATTTATAAACATTATACATAAAATAAAACTTCCCTATAAGCATTTTTTAACATTCTTCAATATAATCAAAACAAATAGGTTCAGATAAAACAATAGTATTTTAACTTTATATATTTATTAGAGAGACTCTTTATCATGTAAAAGTATATTTTTAATATATCCATCCAAAATAGCAACCTAAACAAGTTCTCTAATAACATAAAAACAACCATCGACACAAAAATAAACATAATTAAAACAATCCTCAAAATTAATCTTTTCATACTCTTTAATAATTGTATCTCTAAATATTGATTTTTCTTAAAATAAATGAGTAATTCTACTAACAAATATGTTGTTATCTCTAACTTCAAATGATTCATCAATACTGGGTTGGCCAAGTTTATTTGAAATCGTAATTGTAGTAAATGTTAAATAATTGGGAAATTTAAGTTCAAAATAATAATTTAATAATTTAATTATATGAATCACTTTTAATTATATATATATATTTTATATTAATACTATATTTTTCATTATATAAATCTTGAAGTAATCAATGCAATCTTTTCTTAAGCTTAAAAAAGGACCTCTCAATGAACATTCTTAGGATGATGAACATATTGTATTCAATTATTTTAAAGGACAAATACAAGAACAACAGCCTAGAATTAATAATTAAAATTTTATCTAGTAGAATAATGATAATAATAATAATATTTTTAAATCATTCACAGGATAGGGAGCACCATTTGGATTGTATGAGAACTTTTATATTAAAGAAGATGAAAATCTTGATC